TATATCTTGAGAGGTTTGCTGTAAATTGAATTAAAGGTTCATGAGTAGTACCAGATACTACGTGGACAATTGCTCTTTGTTACACAATGTTTCTGGTACATGTTTTCTTTACAGATGATTTTTATAATTTTTCAGCTTTAAGTTTACATCCTTGAAAAATTTCATAACTGTAAAATTGCATCAATTTACACAATAAGTATATGTATTAATATTATTTTTTCATTTACACACATCTGCTTGTTGAAGGATCGAGTGGTGAGTGGGATTAACACTCTTCGTCAGCTGATTTTGACCCGACCCGCCCACAGATTGAGATACCTTGAGGTCTTGCTGATGTCCTGTCACCACGACATGCCAGAAGTGAGGGCCACTGCCATCCACTGTAGTAAACAGCTGTATGAAAAGGGTCACATCAGACCGTACATCGAGGTCAGTATTCAAATCCTCTCCCAGGGTCACATTAGGCCCTACATCGAGGTCAGAATTCAAATTCTCCCAGGGTCACTTCAGGCCCTACATCAAAGTTAGCATTCGAAGCCAATCCCAGGCTTACATCATGTTCTTCATTGAGATCAATAATCAGTCACGCCCAGGTCACATTTGGCCCTACATCAAGGTCAGTATTCAAAATGACCCTGGATCACATGGCTCTACATTGAGGTCAATATTCAAATCAAACCCCATTCTAACATCAGGTGCTAAGCGCTACACAGAGGTCAGTAATCAAAGTCAAGCCAAGGGTCCCCTTAAGCCATACATAATAGGAGCAGTTTCCACTTCATATTCTAAATAAATACCACTGTCAACTTGTAGCACAGAAGACCATATGCAAGGTTTATGATTAAGTTTATTCTTTGAGGAATAAAAATATTTCAATGATATCATCTCTAAGTTTAGAACTTTTTATAAGCTTAATTTTCCTTACTACAAGGGCAGGTCTTTTAAAATATATGTTCAGAATGGTTTATGGAGTTAACAAGCAAATAAAATTTAATGCATAGTTTTCAGAATTCTGCCAGTTTTGATTTATAATGCACACATTTTTTTTCAGCAATATGCCACAAAGATGTTAAAGAATCTCCTTTTAACAAAACCACCAACAGAAATGTTAGGAAAAAGTAAAAGTAAGTATTTAATTCTGCACCAAAAAGCATGTTTGAAAATTGATACATATAAGTGGTATAATTGTAAAGTTACAATAAGTTATGAATACATGTTATTGACAGTAGCATTAAAACTGTGACATTTGTGTATTCATTACAGTAAATGATATTTGTAATTGCTTTCCATGGTGGATATGATTGAATTAAAACAATATGAATATTCTGCTTTGTTTTACAATATCAAACATAAAAAAAACTGATATGGGTCAACATATAGATAAGATAGAATGGATTTTTTGATATTGAGTTTAATGTCCTAGAATATATTTAAATGAATCTTTAATACAATATAGATGACCCTGCATTACAAACATGGACAGAAGACACCATTAAGATGTGTTTATACCTTTACCTGGGTTTGTTGCCTAGCAACCATAAGCTAATCCATCAGTAAGCATAACCTTTGTGATTATTGGCATATTAATATTGTAGGTCCTTGACAAGGTCGTGGTCAGGGCATGCAAGAGCATCTTTAGCTTTCTTTTATGACTGAACTCTTTAGTAATATATGTATTTTAATTAGATTTTTTTTAATTTAATAATTTGGATAAAATGAATTGACAATTTAATATTCGGATATGAGAGAGTGGAATATTTTTCTGGTTTTAGGTTAGCCATGGTGTATACATCTGCCGGAGCTGATATCAAGAGGATCATCCTCAGGGCACTGGAGAATCCCGTAAGTAAAATCCTCCTCAGGACACTGGAGAATCCCATAAGTAAAATCTTTCTCAGGGCACTGGAGAATCCCATAAGTATAATCCTCCTCAGGACACTGGAGAATCCCATAAGACTAGTATAATCATCCACTCGCTTCTGAGAATCACAGAAGTATAGAAGAATCATCCTCAAGATGCAGGAGAGTGGGTTAATTATAGTCAATGTGTACCCACAAATCATCCATTTGCCCAGGAATGCACAAAATAGAGTAATCATCCACAGGTCTGTGGATTATCCCATAAATATTGTGTAGCCATCCTCAGGCTCAAGTATATGTAGAATTGTATGAAGTGAATTTTATATAAAAATGTCTTGATAGGTTAGAAATTAGAAAAAAATATTTATAGAAAATGGAAGAATATTGAAAACTTTAAAAGTTTTTGTGACATAGTTTAATTTTTGAGCTTCTTTATTTAGGTGAAAGGTATGGGAATGAAATCCCCTGAGCTGTTAACATTAGTGGAAAGTTGTCCAAAGGGAGCTGAAACCTTGGTCACTAGAGTCATACACATCCTAACAGATAAAGGTATGATAAAACTTATACAGACAAAGGTGTGATAAAAACAAGGTATGATAAAACCTATCCAGATAAAGGTGTGATAAAAACAAGGTATGATAAAACCTATCCAGACAAAGGTGTGATAAAAACAAGGTATGATAAAACCTATCCAGATTAAGGTATGATAAAACCTATCCAGATAAAGGTGTGATAAAAACAAGGTATGATAAAACCTATCCAGATAAAGGTATGATAAAACCTATCCAGATAAAGGTGTGATAAAAACAAGGTATGATAAAACCTATCCAGATAAAGGTATGATAAAACCTATCCAGACAAAGGTGTGATAAAAACAAGGTATGATAAAACCTACCCAGGCAAAGGTGTGATAAAAACACATTCTAACAGACAAAGATAAAATCAGATCCTTTCCAACTACTAATATATCCTCTCAATGCCCCGGAGGATGCAAGAGGCCTTTCCAACAAAGTATAATTAAAATGGCAAATGATACCCATGTCTGGTGAACAAAACTTACCCCTGGGAGCCTCATGACTACAGATGTGAATGCTAATAGCTTACCTGTATTTCAGCCTCACCATCACCTGAATTGGTGGAGAGAGTCCGTGATCTTTATCACAAACGTGTCCCTGATGTCAGATTCCTTATCCCAGTTCTCACCGGACTTTCCAAGGTAAAGAGAAAATCACTTTACTGATGTTTTTTTTTGAAACAATTCATTTAAAGTGAAGAACACAGTGTAAATCACTTTTTATTCACAAGACTTTATTTTGGCACAATAACTTGTGACAGACAGTTCACAAAAATTTTAGTCCCTTGTATATTCGTATTACTACAGATTATAATATAAACAACAATAATTTAACTTGTGAAATTTGTCTCCCATATAAACACCAAGGTGATCTACAGTACCTGATTGAGTCAAGAATAATTTCTTAAAGATGAGATGTTTTTAATATAGACATTGACTAACCATCATATTTTTTTTTTCAAGGAAAAAGTTTCGAATTTTATCATAGCATATCATTAAGAGAATATTTTGTGTTTTTAATTCAGGATGAAGTGATACAAGCCCTGCCCAAACTAATCAAGTTAAACCCCATTGTTGTGAAGGAGGTGTTTAACCGTCTTCTTGGTGGCCATAGCGACGCTAACTACACCTCTCCCCTTACTCCTGTGGATCTGTTAATAGCACTACACAACATAGACCCAGCCAAGTGTGACATGAAGACCATCATTAAAGGTGAGACCCAGCCAAGTGTGACATAAAGACCATTATTAAGGGTGTGCTGAACTTCCTGTTATTTTGAACTTCCTGTTGTCAAATTTATTCAACATAAGTAGAAATTATACAAAGAAAATTATTCAAAGATATTTTAGACAAAATACTTTTCAAACAGTAATATAATATCTAAAGCAAAAAAAAATTGTTATGATGTCATAAAGTAAATGCAGTAAAACCTTAATATCAGGAACTCTATGGGACAGAGAAAAGCTTTGAGAAGATATCCAAGGGTTTGAGATGTTGAGGTTAAAATGCATAAAAATATTTGTTTGGGACTTCCCATTCACTTTGGCATATTCATGGTATTCAACATATCTATGTTCAAGATACTGAAGTTCAATTGTATTTGAATTAAGATGAAAATTAAACATTACAAATTACAATGTATTATCTGATCTGCCCAAAACAGATGAAGTTACCCCCATCCATCCCCCCCCCCCCCCTTTCTGCCTAACTTTCAAGTGCATTCATGTTTTTTTTTTTTTCCAGCTACAAACCTGTGCTTCAGTGAGAAGAACATTTACACTCAGGAGGTTCTGGCAGTAGTGATGAAGACCTTAATGGAACAAGACCCCCTCCCTACACTGTTTATGAGGACGGTTCTACAGTCCCTGTCTATGTATCCCAGACTGATGGGATTTATTCTCAATATCCTTCAGAGGCTCATTGCTAAAGAGGTAACAATCAAATCCTCTCCTGATCATGCATTATTTCATTAAGTTTTACCATACTTCTAAGAACATACATTGCTAAAGAGGTAACAATCAAATCCTCTCCTGATCATGCATTATTTCATTAAGTTTTACCATACTTCTAAGAACATACATTGCTAAAGAGGTAACAATCAAATCCTCTCCTGATCATGCATTATTTCATTAAGTTTTACCATACTTCTAAGAACATACATTTAATTTTGTCTCTAAACATAGAGCAAAGATGAGAATCCTTTTTTGCTTCCATCATGTGTCTGTACCTTTTGCAGTTTTCACAGGAACAGGACAAAAACTAAGGTTTTAATTTGAAACAAAATGTATTATTTCTGTATTTCTAAGCATTAGGTATTTGGGGACAGAGGAATTTTTCAACAAGATTTAAGTAATCATTGCTTATAAAGTATGTTCGATTTATAAAAGTGTAAAACAAAGAAGACATTAAGTAAGACAAATTCAGTGTGCTGAAACCAGACAAAGATGTCCACTTTAATAGGATTTCCTTTTTGCAATGGAAATGTTGCAGCATCTCCAGTTTTTCTGTCCAGGGCTTTTTTTATTTGAAATTTACAGCGGATAGTAATGAATCTTATGTCTGTTCTTGTCTGTAGGTCTGGAAGAATAAGAAGGTCTGGGAAGGTTTTATTCGATGTTGTCAGAAGATGAAGCCTCAGTCCTTTGCTGTTTTACTGCAGTTAAAAGCTCCTCAGTTAAAGAGTGTATTTGAGAGTTGCCCAGACCTCAGAGAACCGCTACTAAACCATGTCAACTCATTCGCTCCAAACCAGGTTTTTTTTTATTGATGTATCTCGTGACTAGTCTTTTAATATGCATTAAAAGTCTTTTCACCAGTTTGAAAATATCAAACTTATATTGTATGGGATAATTTCAGAAAGCTCACCTGCCCAAATCAGTGTTAGCTGTCTTGGAGAATCCCCCAGAGGTGACCCCCATTACACCCCAGGCTGAGGTGGCACCACCTACCCCCGTCCCCTTCACCCCCACAGTTCTAGCACCACAGGTTACCACAGTGAAGATTGAGAATACTGTAGTACCTATGGAGACCCAGTCTATACAAAGTGTTCAGTCAATTCAGACCATAGGATCAAACTTGGTTCAAGTGAGTTGAATAATGCAGTCAATCAAAATTTGTTGGACATTAAAATAACGTTTATTCTTCATGATTCAGATACATTGTAACACTATTCCTATCAGTTTATTAGACAGTATAAAGTTGTATTAACAGTCTGTGTTGCAAAGTTTTAAATGACAGAGGAATAATTGGCAAGTATGTAAGCTAAAGTATTCTGAAGATAAAAAATGGGGGGGGATGTGTTCTTAATTGCATGTATATCATAAAACTAAGTAGTAAATATGTTCATTTGCATAAGGTGAAGCAAGAGCCCCCTGATCCTGAAGAAATTGCTAGACAAGCAACTGAAAACAGAGAGCCACAGGAATCAGGGGCCAGAGATTCACCAGAGAAAGACAGAAAAGAGATGCCAGCCAGGAGGAAATCAAAGAGGTCAACAGAGGTGGGTAGATAGTTCAACTTTAGGGGCAGCTGGGCATTAAGTAATGGGCAACTGTGCCTTCATTTTAGGTCAACAGGGGGAGGGGGGATAGTTTTCCTGAACTTTGATGTAATGTATCTCATTATCTCTGTACAATTGTGTATCTCATCTCTCTGTAAGATAATGTATCTCATCTCTCTGTAAGATAATGTATCTCATCTCTCTGTAAGATGATGTACATGTATCTCATCTCTCTGTAAGATAATGTATCTCATCTCTCTGTTAGATAATGTATCTCATCTCTCTGTAAGATAATGTATCTCATCTCTCTGTAAGATAATGTATCTCATCTCTCTGTAAGATAATGTATCTCATCTCTCTGTAAGATAATGTATCTCATCTCTCTGTAAGATAATGTATCTCATCTCTCTGTAAGATAATGTATCTCATCTCTCTGTAAGATAATGTATCTCATCTCTCTGTAAGATAATGTATCTCATCTCTCTGTAAGATGATGTATCTCATCTCTCTGTAAGATAATGTATCTCATCTCTCTGTAAGATAATGTATCTCATCTCTCTGTAAGATAATGTATCTCATCTCTTTGTAAGATGATGTACATGTATCTCATCTCTCTGTAAGATAATGTATCTCATCTCTCTGTAAGATAATGTATCTCATCTCTCTGTAAGATAATGTATCTTATCTCTCTGTAAGATAATGTATCTCATCTCTCTGTAAGATAATGTATGTCATTATCTCCCTATTAAAAAGTGTGACACATTATCTCTCTTTAAGACAATGTACATGTATCCCATTAGTATCTCTGTAAGATGAAATGTATCCGTTTATCTCTCTGTAGGATAGTGTATTTCATTATATCTGTCTGTAGGATAGTGTATCTCGTAATCTCGCTACATGATAATGTATCCTACTATCTCTCTGTAGGATAGTGTATTTCATTATATCTGTCTGTAGGATAGTGTATCTCGTAATCTCGCTACATGATAATATATCCTGCTATCTCTCTGTAGGATTGTGTATTTCATTATATCTGTCTGTAGGATAGTGTATCTCGTAATCTCGCCACATGATAATGTATCCTGCTATCTCTCTGTAGGATAGTGTATTTCATTACATCTGTCTGTAGGATAGTGTATCTCGTAATCTCGCTACATGATAATGTATCCTGCTATCTCTCTGTAGGATAGTGTATTTCATTATATCTGTCTGTAGGATAATGTATCTCGTAATCTCGCTACATGATAATGTATCCTGCTATCTCTCTGTAGGATAGTGTATTTCATTATATCTGTCTGTAGGATAATGTAGCTCGTAATCTCGCTACATGATAATGTATCCTGCTATCTCTCTGTAGGATAGTGTATTTCACTATATCTGTCTGTAGGATAGTGTATCTCGTAATCTCGCCGCATGATAATGTATCCTGCTATCTCTCTGTAGGATAGAGCCGAGACTGAGATGGAGGAAGCTGACTCTCCAGAGAATGCCCTCGCTATTGCTGAGGAAACCATGGACACGTCTGTTAATAATGACTCACAAGGGGAGCAGGTAGCTTACTCAGTAGTTAATAATGACTCACAAGGGGATCAAGTAGCTCACTCAGTAGTTAATAATGACTCACAAAGGGGATAAGGTAGCTCACTCAGTAGTTAATAATGACTCACAAGGGGAACAGGTAGCTCACTCAGTAGTTAATAATGACTCACAAGGGGAACAGGTAGCTCACTCAGTAGTTAATAACGACTCACAAGGGGAACAGATAGCTCACTCAGTAGTTAATAATGACTCACAAGGGGAACAGGTAGCTCACTCAATTAATAATGACTCACAAGGGGATCAGGTAGCTCACTCAGTAGTTAATAATGACTCAGAAGGGGAACAGATAGCTCACTCAGTAGTTAATAATGACTCACAAAGGGGATAAGGTAGCTCACTCAGTAGTTAATAATGACTCACAAGGGGATCAGGTAGCTCACTCAGTAGTTAATAATGACTCACCAGGGGAACAGGTAGCTCACTCAGTAGTTAATAACGACTCACAAGGGGAACAGATAGCTCACTCAGTAGTTAATAATGACTCACCAGGGGAACAGGTAGCTCACTCAGTTAATAATGACTCACAAGGGGATCAGGTAGCTCACTCAGTAGTTAATAATGACTCAGAAGGGGAACAGATAGCTCACTCAGTAGTTAATAATGACTCACAAGGGGATCAGGTAGCTTGTTCAGTAGTTAATAATGACTCACAAGGGGAACAGATAGCTCACTCAGTAGTTAATAATGACTCACAAGGGAATCAGGTAGCTCACTCAGTAGTTAATAATGACTCACAAGGGGAACAGGTAGCTCACTCAGTAGTTAATAATGACTCACAAGGGGAACAGATAGCTCACTCAGTAGTTAATAATGACTCACAAATGGAGCTGGTAGCTCACTCAGTAGTTAATAATGACTCACAAGGGGATCAGGTAGCTTGTTCAGTAGTTAATAACGACTCACAAGAGGAACAGATAGCTCACTCAGTAGTTAATAATGACTCACAAGGGAATCAGGTAGCTCACTCAGTAGTTAATAATGACTCACAAGGGGAACAGATAGCTCACTCAGTAGTTAATAATGAGACTCACAATCGGAACAGGTAGCTCACTCAGTAGTTAATAATGACTCACAAGGGGATCAGGTAGCTCACTCAGTAGTTAATAATGACTCACAAATGGAGCTGGTAGCTCACTCAGTAGTTAATAATGACTCACAAGGGGATCAGGTAGCTCACTCAGTATTCAATAATGACTCACAAGGGGAACAGATAGCTCACTCAGTAGTTAATAATGACTCACAAGGGGAACAGATAGCTCACTCAGTAGTTAATAATGACTCACAAGGGGAACAGATAGCTCACTCAGTAGTTAATAATGACTCGCAAGGGGAACAGATAGCTCACTCAGTAGTTAATAATGACTCACAAATGGAGCTGGTAGCTCACTCAGTAGTTAATAATGACTCACCAGGGGAACAGGTAGCTCACTCAGTAGTTAATAATGACTCACAAATGGAGCTGGTAGCTCACTCAGTAGTTAATAATGACTCCCAAAGGGAACTGGAAGCTCACTCAGCAATCTAATTAAAATTAGATGTTCCAAATCTCTGACATCTAACAACATCCCACTCTTTAGTTAATAATGACTCACAAGAGGAAATGCATTCTAAACTTCTATCTTGTCTGGATGAGACAGAAAAATCCTTAAGATGTATTTTGTCTGGGTGAGATAGACACATGCAACACATGTATCTTGACGAGGTTAAAACAGAAATCTCCTTATCTTGTATCTTGTCAAAAAAGATGAGAATATGCAAATTTTGCATCTTTTCTACATAGGAGAGAAACTTCAAAACTTTTATTCTGTTTGGATAAGATCAAATCATAGAAAGCTTTTCATTAAATATTTCATATCACTATCACAGTTTAATCTAATAATGTTAACTGGACATTGTGTTTCTTTGTAGTCACAAGATTCTACAGGAGATCATCCACCAAAGACGAGTCGATCTAAGTCATCAGAATCTAGTTCATCCGAGGCTAGGCCCAGAAGAAGCACAAGGTCACGGAAATAGGTCATCTCTTTATTCATTCCTGACGTTCGTGTAACAGCAGTGCCTTGTTGGGATCCATGAATAGTTTCTTTTGACTTTTACTGATGAACAACTAGTGCTGTTAAGTAAGCTCTGATTAGTGAGCTAGACAAAATGTTGTGTACATTGAAAAATTTGTGAAATTGAAAATAAATACAGGTCTGTTATAGACTGTAAAACTTTTTATTATTGTGAGTTTCATTTACAACTTTTTTCATAATCATTTGTTCAAATTTAAGCAACACCATTGATAAGTGATTACTAGTAAAGAAACTCTTGGTAGGATGCTTTACACATCTTTGTTTTTATGATACAGCTGGGGGTGCGGGTTCAAAAGTAATTTTCTCATTTACATGTTGGTTGGCCTCCACTTTTTGTCACAGTCTGTCAAATCAACACACATTAATGTAGAGAAGGGGGGGGGGGGGGAGGTATAATGTAATGCCAGTAAAAAATTTTCATTTGTGGGAAGTGGGAAACTGGAACGTGACAGACCCCCCCCCCCCCCCACCCCACCCCAAGTAGTGTTTTCTTTCTTTGTCAAGACTTTTTCAGGTATATTTTCTATTTTTTCTGGCTGCATTCCCCCTTTGAAAAATGAGGCTACGTGCCTGCAAATACATCAATATTTCAGTATAATACCAAAGCCATGGCATAAAAGAAAATCCTTGTCTGGTCTGGAAGTCGCAAGAATTAGAGACAGTCTTTTACTTTTGATCAAAGCAACTCAAAATTTTCAAAGATTGTTTAAAGATTAAAACAAGGTCATTAGACATTATTGAGTGGGCATACTACTAAATTAGCATACCACTACATTAGCATTGGTTTTCAAATGTATACCAATTCTAAGATTGTGGGAAAATTGGGACCTAGGGTTCTGTAATATTTAGCCAAAAATTACCTTTGCTAAACAAAGTTTTGAGCATCTTCACAATGTCAGATCCCTTAGCAAAATCAAATTGATTGAATTTTGATTTATTTTGTAGTTGTTTTCTGAGCATTGGATTTTCATTGTTTTTTGATTTGCAAAGAAATCAACTGTGCCTCCTTGCTAAATTGTATGGGAAAAAAGCATTGAAATAGCATTGAACATTGGATTTTGATTTATTTTGGATTGACTTTTGATTGAAAATGGCTGGATTTTTGCGAAATATGTAAATGAGATGAAGGATTAATCTGACATCACGGAAAAATGCAAAATCAATGCAAAACAAATGAAATACAGTATGAAGCATTTATTTGATGTCACTTAGCATTATTGTGACATCACAGAAAAATGTTAAAGTAATACATATTAAAACATTTAAGTGATGTTATGAAACTTGAGAAGTAACATAGAATAAATACATATGGTAACAAACAATATCCAGCATCATGCTCAATGCAAACATTATTACTAATAATCCATCACATGTATCTTTACCAAAATTTTGAATACTTATCTGAAAAATTCACCAGTACAGTTATAAATTCAAGTAAATGAATTACAAACTTCCATGTAATGTATCCATTATTTGTATGGCATCTACTTCAACAGCACCATCTTTTCATCACCTTCAATATCACTTGTCTAGCTGTCACAAAACAACACTAGCTGTCTTCATCATTCTTAGATTCTACACAACTTTTTGCCATAATTTGAATAGTTTAGTCCACAGGGAAGAACACAACAAAATGTTGATCATTTCCATCAAAGTACATCATGGCTTCTAGCTTGTCTGGATGCAGCGCCAGCAGAATTTGAAATGGCTGATAAAGTGACGTAGAGTAATCACGTGATTTTTATCAGCCTCTCCCTGGATATATTTACAGCTTGTCAGCACTAATATAACCAGCAATATACACAGCTGATAAAGCTACCATTTATTTCTGAATCAATGCTTCAGAAAATAAATACAAATTCAATCATGGATTTACCAAAGAGATCAATTCATGTGTAATTTGTTATTGGTATGACATCATATAAATTCAAAATAAATGCAAAATAAATGCATTGAAACAACATTTATTTAAAAAATCAAATTTCAATCATTCCAAAATCAATGGTCTGAAGATTTTTGAATTGGATTCAATCAAAAATAAATGCATAACCAATGTTCAATGTATTTTCAAGACAAATAAAATCAAAAATCAATGCAAATATAGCATTTGTTTTTGCTAAGGGATGTCCCACAACCAGTGTGGACTCGGGACCCCTGACATTGTGGGGATGAGTTTTGAGATTCTAGTTAGAGAAAAAAAAAGCTCAGTAGTAATGAAAAGGGAAGGGGTCAGTTCCTTGCTCTTTTCAGTCCACACTGAGAAAAACATCTCCATTAATTATTTGCTTACCACAATCAAAGTAATGAAAAACATTTTAAGAGACTTTGTCTTCGTCAAAGGCTTAATTTAAAAGGTGTCAATGGAGGTACTCTCCATTGTTAATTAACTTGCGCCGTCGATATATCTATAATAGATGTCGAGTTGAAGGCCACAGCAAGTGTTTTCTTAGAAGTTCTCATGTGGAAGTTTTTGAATAAATTCTTTTTCATATGAATACAAAAATAGGTCTGATATAACGGGGCGCAATTGGTACCCATGGGAATTCCAACAGATTGTTGGAAGACCTGGTCCTGGGGCCATAAATCTTAGAAGAGCTCACTTTTGATCTCAGTCTCACTTTTATCAAAGGAATTAATAGTGAAAAAGTGAGACTGAGATCAAAAGTGAGCCTGTCTAAGTTTTATGGCCCCGGGGCCTGGTCTCCAAAACCTACATAGATATTGTCAATCAGGAACTTCATCATCATTTAATTTCAGCTTCAGAGTACTTGTGTGTGTGCAATCAGAATGTTTTAACAAAATGATTTTGCAAATGACCAGTGACAAAGTAAGTATATTTACGAGTTCCATTTTTATTGAAAAGGAGCTGTCTATGACATCAAAAAGCCTGGACTTTGATTCATCGTGGGGAACGGTTGTATAAAGTGTTGAAAAGTGGTAAATTTGTTAAAATTTTAATTGTGATTTCAAATTTTCTTAAAGTTCCTTGGAGTTTTTAAGTATCATAATTTTTTTTTTTTTTAATATGTTGAAAGGAGTAAAGATGTCCTCAATTATTTGAGTTACGAGGGTATCCTGCGTTTATTACGGACATGGATATACCTTATACCAATACCAATCCAAGAAAACTTGAACTTGAAACATTTTATGATCGCCTTACTAGTAGGACAAGCAATAGAGCGCATGCGTGGGCTTTCATAGATACAAAATGGCGCTAATGAAAAGACTTCAAAAATCTGCAGTCGAAATTACTCCAATTGATATCACCCATAATTTAGAATCTTTACAGTTTGAAAGTGCGCTGAATGATGACGAAAGACAACTACTCGTCCTGAGGAAAAGATCTCACGCACTGGTAGTAACCATGTGCACACAGGCCACGTTTTTCGCAAATATTCTTCATGAAGCAAGGTGCGCTAATTTTTAAGTTTATTATGTAGTCGTGAAGTGGATTCGGCATCGGTCTTTACATTTAATAATATGTTCTGTACTTTTTTATAATGTTGTCAAAAAACGTGACCAGAATTTGGCAAATTTGAATCACGCATCCTCACAATGCCAGGGTTCTGATCGAGTCTAATCGTGGCCGTGGGTCAAACAGGACTTCTGATATTGTGAGAATAGCAGTCGCATGATTCAGGCCTTTCTCTGTATCTGTTGTACATTACAATTAATTATTAGATTCCATAAAGGCGATTTTCTAGTTCAGAACCACAGGTATAGGTGTCTATATTAAAAATTATTGGGACTTGATTTAAATAATTTCTGTATCGTTTCAGGCAAATAAAGAAACAAATGAAAAGTCCTCAGAAGATGACTGCCAAGATCTTGCAGGACAAAGATTCACGAGATCCATTAAAAGTTGGTATTATTGGATGTGGTCGTCTTGGCAGCCAGTTAGCCCACTGCTTGTTGACATATGGCAGAGTGAATCCTAAAGACCTTAAAGTATCCACTAGAAGACCAGAAACACTGGGTAAATGCAGTCTCAAGAGATACATGATGACTGTAACATTGTTGAGTGTTTTTTTTTTTTTTGTTTGTTTTTTCCCCATTATATAAACAGTAAGGTCTGGGTACGTTTAGAACCAAAACCGGCCCTGTCTCTAAATGTTATCAAGATCTTTTACAGACTTGCCTACAATGTGCCCTTTCTAAATCATTTTTATTATCCATGTCAACATATTACGTCATTAATTTACAAGTAATGTTACTTGATAAATTCAACAGAGAAAGGGCTACATGAATCTTCCCTCCCAAATGCAGAATTGAATTTAAAAGTTGATACATGTAAAACATTCAGATTGGAATTACACACAGTCAAACCTTGTTATCTCGAACTCAATGGGACAGAGGGAAAAACTTAAATATATCCGAGGATTCAAGATATTCAAGGTAAAGTACTTAAAGAATAAAGGGTTGGGAATTCCAAATCAATTTGACATATCCATGGTATTCAAGATATCAGTGTTCCAGGTACCAAAGTTCAAGAGTAATTAATTTCTACAAAAGTATCAATTTTGTGTGGAGAAAATATGTTGCCTCTCCAAAACAAGCAGCATCTCCAACTACAATTCTTTGTATTAAAAAACAACTGTGGCACACTTTTGTAAGGTCATTTTTTTTTTCTCATACAGTATTATAAACTGGGGTATAATTGTTCTTTCTGCAAAGTTTCACACACACACTCGGATGCAGCCTTATCAAAATAAACTTTGAAAAGGGAAAATGCCCCAATAGGGGATAATCCTGAACATTAGTCTGATTTTGAATGTTACATAAACAAACCTGCACATGAGTTGAGTAAAATTTTTACCTATTTTGTACACAGGGAAACCTTTAAAATTAATACAAATTTTCATAATGATATTATGTGTTTACTTTTTGCTGATTTTACAGGGCTGATTACTGGACTCAACGTACCCAGTTCTTTACTTGAATTACAATCTTACTCAGACAAAGAAATCTGGGGACAGTAAATGAATCAAAAGTATTAAGATTAAATTGACTAAATCAAGAGCATTTCATTACATGCACAAATCAGTAACCAGTCAGAACTCAGGAAACATTTGCACATAATAGGTAACCAATAATAATAATGATAGATTATCGATGTGTTTCATTTCAGAATACTTACAGAATAAAGGTGTTGATTGTTTTCATGACAATATAAAACTAGCTTCCACATCCCATGTGGTGTTTATTTGTGTACTGCCATCCCACGTACAGGTTGTGGCAGAGGAAATCAAAGAGCACATTCCTGTACACACCATTATCTACAGTTTTGTAGCTGCCTATTCAGTCCAAAAACTCAAGCAGATTCTACAGACTACAAATATATTAAAACCTGACCTAACATGGACCAAAGACAGTGAACAAAATTCCTGGGACTGTTCAGAAAATGTGAATACTGCACTGGAAAACCCAGTTACAGTTGAAAAGACTTGTCCGTTTGGAAATCTGAGATCTGGTATACTTTTTTTTCTATCACTGGCCAATTTAGTGCCCCCCTCTTAGGATTAGGTTACATGTTTATAAAAATAGAGGGAAATTCTCATTAAAGTGAAAATGTTTATATCACAATACATTGAAATAGATAACTGTATAAAATATGAAACTTGATACTATATTGCACAGTAAGAGTTACTGGGTTATATTTGGTTTTCAAGCAGTCAATATTGAAAAAGTTTCTTAAATCATGTTATGGGTATCATGAACATTTTTGGTTACACAGTAAAGCCAGAGTATTTATAACCTCTACCATGGGTAAGTTTTATCTGTTTACAGAATGTGTGATTTTGACCAATGAGAAGTTTGGAGAATTGATGATTTTTGCTCTCCTCAATATGTGTACAACTCTGCGACTAAACAAGGCAGACTGCCTGACAATTCTTCACACGACACTTTTTGGTGACATCTCAGAGGACAAACTTCAGGAATCTGATTTCATCAAAAAGAATCAAGATATGCATGGGTAATATAAACATTTTTATGCAGTATCAAGTTCATAACAGTAAAGCATATTTATAGCGAGTCCATTGTACAGTGAATTCTTTATACCGGTCATTAGTTATTACACAAAGACAATATACCTCCCACCCCCTGAAAATGCAACACATAAAATGAATATATTTAGTGTTAAATCTAAAGCAATCTAGCATGGCGCGGCGCCATGCCCTTTTCTCTCGGCGCCATGCCCTTTTTTCCAGCGCCATGCCCTTTTTTCCTTGCAAAAATAAATAAATATGCCTAGCAGAGGCAAGATGGACTAGCGGCTTTGTTTATTCAGTACATGCTGATTAGCCCCTTTGTTTATTCAATGCACGCAAAGGTGTGAATTCAGGACAGGAAATCACTTCTCGCTTGAATGCACACAGCCACCTGGCCAGGTAACATGTCTCAGGCTGTTAGGGTATAAGCGGTAACACGAGAAAATATCATTTGATTGCATTGATTATGCAAGAATTAGCCCAATGTCAAAGACAGATTAATTTGTAAATTAAAATGTTACACATTTTAAATCAGGATCGTTTTTTTTTTTAAGTTGAAAGTAGAAAAAACAGAGTTGATGAAGAAATGTGAAAAATAAAACTGCTGATGAATTAAGTCAACTTACAATGTACAGTACCAAAAAAACTGAATATATATTATGTGTGAAATGGGCTAGGAAACAACAAAGTATGAAGTTAGTTTCTTTCAACATGTTCAATGATTCTGTGTTCTAACTTTTTGACACCCTGAGGCTCAATGTTTCTAAGCCAGAAAAATAGTTTTAACCAATTTATATATTATTTCAAGTTTAATTTTTTGGTATGATCAGTTTTCACTTGATTTTGTTGGTAGATTATTTTCAAAATAAAGAGAATGCCCTCGACATTTATTATCCAAGTAGCCCCCCCCCCCTTTGTAATTTTGTTCTGTTGTTTACCTCATACACAAATAACAATATTAAAGCAAGGAAAAAAATTCATACCCCAATTAAAAATAATTTATTGAGCAAGTGACAAAAAGATTCACACCTATTACTTTTTAAGCATAACCTTGATAACCATATTAATTTCTTGATTAAAAAATTTGAATTTAAATTTTGGCAATAATTGCCCCCTCAGTGTGTATTAAATGAATTAAGCTGAGAGATTTATAATTTTTTCTTTTAGATACTTGTATAACTAATGATTTCAGTATTAAATAATAATTTAAGTACATAAACATGATAAAGAAAATATTCATAATTTTAGACGTTAAAAAAGTGCCCTCATGAAAACTTGTCGCAGCGTAAAGTGCCCTTTTGATTATTGGATTACCATGCCCTTTTTAGGGTCTGGATTTAACACTATATATAATTGTTTATTGTGGGCATTTTAAAGCAGTTTTGGTTTTCCTTCAAAGACCAGGCTGATTTACCATTAACCTTTATAGAAATTAATTGCAGGTGATAGTAATGGTGATATTCAATGATAAGATCCGTCCTTTTCTTTGTTGAAGAATAAGGTGGTAGTTCTCTAAATGTAGTAGAAATAATTGCTGTTCTGTATACATTAAAACATCCTGAACTTGTTATGCCCAACTTTAAGTCTTTAATGTTTTATTGCTGTATGTTTTTTTTCTCTGAATGTATTATCTTGTTTGCTTTCATTTTCTTGCAATCTTATTTTGAAGAATATACTTGTATTTGCAGGGTTTTCCCCCGGTTTGACTTGGTGAAGGTATCTCAAGTTAATACATCAGTGCAAAAGCGTGTGTCGTCTAGTGAACATTTGAGAAAGGCTTTCATTAACAGATATCTGACAATGTTTGAGGAATATGTGAAAAGGAAAGCCCTGCTTGGTCCAGACATGGATGAATCTTAATTCAGATTTTTGTGATAAATTGTATGAGCTGTAATATAAATAACAATTATATATATATATATATATATATATATATATAAATGTTTGTTTGTTTTAATTCAACAGTCTTTTAAAGGACAATTTTGTTGACATCATCACATATAAAAATAAATTATACATGTATATGCATAATTTCTACGAAATCATACACAAATTCACATATAAAAGTCAACATCAGTAAGACAAATCGTAATTACTCTCACATAAACAAATCCTAATTACTCTCATAAACAAATTGTAATTACTCTCACACACAAAAAGTAACAGAAATTACTCTCACATAAATAATTACACATAAAGACATAATTACTCTTGCATAAACAAATCACTTACTCTCACATAAACAATTTGTATTTACTTCCACGTAAAAAGATTGTAATTATGTTCACATAAACTAATTGTAATTATTTTAAGAGTTCATTGATTCATAAAGGAAGATTGTCACTTGGATTGTTCTGAATTTCTCCATTCACTTCGGACATTAAAATTCTGTCTGTGGAGTAAAAAAACATGCATAAATATTAAATACCACCCATGTTTTACTTCTACTGATTGAAATTCAGCCATTTAAACATTGACTATTCTGACCTTAAATTTTTGAAATTGGTGTTACAAAATATTTTTTTACCCATCAAAATTGTTTAACTTTCTTTTTAGCAAAGTTCATTCAATTTGTTCAGCTTTTTAATATAGAACCGAGTTAATCCAGTCACAAACAACTTTTACAATAGAGGGTCACTCAAATTGGTACAATCCAAAAATAGATACAAATGAGATGGTGAATATCTCAAAGGGACAGTGCTTATAGTATACATGTATATAACAAGGCTGTAGGAAATGGGGGGGGGGGGGGATCAGGTGCAACCACACCTCCTTAAACAAATCAAGAAAATAATACTTTTTAAAGAAAATTAATTCATTATTTATCCATTTTGAGTAATTTTGCTTTATTTTTTTATTTAATGTGTGAAAAAAACTGACTTCACCATGAGCCACCAAAATGGTACCCCTTTATTAAAAAAAATCTGGCTCAGAGGAGGGGGTACCTGGCAATGGCCCTTTATGGTAAAGGGGACTTGGACTTGTACAGGAATCTCATTGGAGGGAATTTTTTTATTCTTGGAAAAGTTTTCATCTTGGTCTACTGAGAAGAATTTGCATCTTGTGTTCTTTTATATAAGGTAAAATTGAAGAAGAAGAAAAAAAGACTTTTTTGTCCAAATTTGAGGGTTTTTTTTATACACATAGACAAAGATTTCACAAACCATCTGCTTTGACCTTGACATCTTCTGACCTTTAAACTAGCCCTGGTTCACTACATACGCTTTTCACAAGGTCACTCTTATGGTCAAACCTGAGTCAAATTGGGCCATGTTTTTGCATAGTAACTTCCTTTGACAATTCACCTGTACATTCTTTGGGTATTAGCAGAAAATATATACTCCAGAAAATATTTTGCACAAGGAGCTCTTCTGTCCTTGACATCTGATTTAGAATATTGTATGGAGGTCTCTGCACATCCTTTACACAAAGGCATATGAACCATATTGGGCCAAAAGATAAGGATTTTCCCCTTATGACTGTTTTGACCTTCATCTTTGACCTTAAAACTTGGATCAATGTCACTGATCCCTTTAAGTGCTGGTCAAGGATAGCCACATTGGGCCAGGGGAAGAAGAAATTTACTCTAGGCAAATAAAACCAGTATAAAATAGACAGAGAGACTGATCACTATAAGGTACCAATAGAAAGAGGTCCCATGAACAACTTACTTTTTACCAAATTGGGTTAATCCAATCACATACACAATCAAAATGAAAATCCTTATATATGGAGCATAAACAACAGTGTCTTTGGTCTCCTCACTGGACAAACCTTGATTATAAAACTCCTCCCTGTAATACAAAAGAAAAGTTACTTTCAACATCTTTCTTACACAATTGCAGTACATGAAGCACACTGTTTTCTTTCAAGCCGATGTAGCCTAAACGTACATGCACTTTACATTACATTTTTTTTCCTCTAATCCCAAGAAATGTAACCCTGACCTAGTGCCTAAACACTTGTATATTTAAACACAACCAAATTATGATCATGTACATCATACTAGTAATGAAAGAAAAGTTTCTGTTTTATCTTATCCCATTTCTTGTTTTAACAACAATTAACAAGGTACAGCCATTTTTAGAAACTATACATACCCCTTTAACTTCTTGTCATATCTGGACCTTTTCCTCTCATTTATCAGAACGTTATAAGCTTTGTTCAACTCCACAAAGTTCTGAACATCTTTTGTTCCGCTGTTACTGTCTGGGTGCATCTATTAACAAGTGGAGAAAAAAATTCTTAGTTTACAAATTAAAAATGATCCAAAAAGTTTCATCATAAAAACAAAATTCACCATTATTTATACACTGAATGTCTGATCATTAAGTCATCCTTACTGTTTTACACAATTCAAAGTAGGCATCTTTGATTTCTTTACTAGTAGCATCCTTCTTCACTCCAAGTATCTCATAGTTAGTCGGCGGATCCTTGCTTGTTGTCCAGAAACACTGCCTGTTAAATTGATAGGTAAAATGATGTTTTGTGAAAAATGAATATTTGTACATGTTCATCAAACAATAAGATCATAAATGCATAATCTGATTTCATTTATACAATGTTTTAGGCTTAACATTTGGGGGGAAAAATGCTATCAGAAACAAACTGACTTTCTTCATGCATACAAGACATGGATCTGGTCCAAAAATGACACTCATTAAGAAGATAAAGTTCAGATAAAGAATCAACAGTGTAGTTGATGGTGAATCATCCCTGCAAGTCTGATCCAGGTAGGGATTACAGTTCCTAGTGAGTGAAAGAAATTACTCCAAACAAATTTTAATCTGTTAATTTATCCAATGTGGATAGAGTAAATCCCAAATGTCTCATCAGAGTCATTGCCCTTTTCAACAAAATAAACTTAAGGTAAATTTTCAGAAATTAATTTTCTCTCTACCTCCAATCCCTGGGTGACTATTTAGATGACACACAGAATCAAGCTTGGTATAAAAAAAAAACATTTTTGGAAAGGCAGAATAATTTCTATGGGGCACCTACAAATTTTTGTGAATGCTTACTTATCATTCCTTCCAAATCAGAAATTTGTGAAAAACTGGCCCCTGATCCCACCTGTGATGTTTTCAGAGGTCCGTGTGTGCTCTACTCACAGTTTGTTGTATTGGAGTGTCGTCATGGTTACTGTTTGTTATCTGCATGTTTTATTGGTAGAAATAATACAATACCACTTTATCATGCTACATTACCCTTTCACTGCTAGGAGGTTTTTACGAGGAGTGAAGACTGTGACATTCTTGGAGACTGCAGACTTGATACAGTACATTCTAAAGACTGATCAGTTATTCCATTCTCCACCATCTGTTCATGGTCTGAAAAAGAAAAGTTGTACATCAATTTGATGTTACATTCCCTAAGTATAATTCACATATGAGACATAGTGTATGAAAGATAAACACTAGTGAAGAGTATGAATCAGTGATATGGCATCCTGAGTCCAAGATCATTAGATATCACATGGGATCTCAAAGGATGAACTTAAAGAACTTAACACTCTTACATATTAATGTATTAACATGTTTCACTCATTATTGTACATTATTCCACAAAATCAATCACATGAAGTCAAAAAACAAACTTAAAATATATTTTACTTCATATCTGAATTCTCTGAGAGAAAAAATATAACAAAATTTAGTTTGCACTTCAATCATATATAAACTGAAATTTTAAAGCTATTACAAGGTGTTAATCACACGATTGTTAGAAGTAAGCCACATTTTTCTTTGCCACAAAAGTAACAATAGAATATACAATATACAAATTAGGTCAAAGTACAATAGTTTATAGGACATAAACTATATTGCATCTACCAGTACACTGACTCAAAAGGACTAATCTGTACCATTAATGGGACTTTGTCACAGTCAAAGTATTGTAGAAGTATTTTTTTTCTGTGTGAAGCAGTCACCCATCCAAGAGTTATAAAGGCTCGCCATTTACTTGCCTGAAATAGAGGGAGACTCTACCGCATCACTAAAAAAGCTAGCTAATTAGTGAGGCAGTACAAGTTCCTAGCTGCAGAACTGTAGCGTTATGGTTTTATATTTTAGTCTTTGACCATAACACTACAGATTCCGTAATGCAAATATTGTGCAATTTACGGTGCAAGATTTTCTGCCCATGGTTGAAGAGAATTGTTTTGAATTTTCTGCCATCCAACTAAAAATTCAAAACAAGCGAGTTTATTGGTCTGTAGAGACAACTGTAAATTAAGAGTTAGGAGGTGGATAAAATATACAGATTGGTTAAAGAATATGTCTAGAATTAGGGAGTGAAAGGTAGTTGATTGACCAATGCTGGAAAGTGGAGATTTTCTCCCAAACTGTGCGCAGAAAATCTTGCGCCATAAATTGCACCATATTTGCATATCGGGACCCGTAGCGTTATGGTCACAGACTAATATATAAAACCATAAGCCTACAGTTCTGCAGTTATATAAGTTCCCTATATACAGTCCGCTACAAGTACATGTATGGCATATAGTGGCAATCCATAAAATCCGTGTACTTTTCTACTCATAGAAATTGTGATTCTGTGGAATTATGACCCACAGGAAAAAAATTGTTTACAGTAAAACACAGATTGCAAATCACTAATAGATTACTAGCAATTTTGACTGGATATGAAAATAGATACTATAGATTGGCATCAGGGGTTTTGCAACAAATAAGCTAAAAGAAAATAGTGCAATTCAGAGTACAATTGTTAACAGTAAAATGTATCTATACTTTGCAGCAGTCTTTGCTGACATCAATTCAAACACAAGCATGAATTAACAAACCAGGATGCCGGCGCTTGGTCACAAATTCGTCTTAACCTATATAATTATTACTGTCAAAATAGGTTTAGCTGTGCCGAGTAATTCTAAAATTTTGCAAAGGTAAATTTTGTCAGAAAAAGTGAACATTAAATCTCTAACCAGACTAAACATTTTGGACAGACGTCTCTTACGAGAATACGTAAGAGATGTCTGTTGAAAATTTTTAGTCTCGACGAATCTCGCTGAGAGATTATCCTGTATGGCAGAATGAAATAATAAATTTATTATCCGCTTTGCAATTTACTGTAACAACAATTGCAAATCTTTTTTTTTTTTTCAGAATATACTCCAACAGTGTTTACGTCTTACAATACAGTGAATACTTACAAAGGACACTCTTACATAACTGGGCCACCGGATGCAAAATAAATCACACTGAAAGTTAAACCAATGTCGTAAGAGATTTTTTTCCGGATTGGGATAATGTTGAAAAGCTCTCAGTGTGCTTAAAAAATATAAATATTAAATATAAAATAAAAAAATATAAATATTAAATAAAAAATATAAATATTAAATATAAAATTAAAAAAATATAAATATTAAAAAAAAAATAAAAATATCTTTTGAGTATATTTTAAAATGTTTATACAGTACTATAATATTTCATCAGCAGCATTAAAAATTAATATAGTCTCAATAAGCATGATTAGTGAAACTATGATAAACAACTTTGATTCGAATGTTATATATATTATATATAAGTTTTCAAATGAAAATTTATCATTAACATTTATTTTCAGGCCAATAACCTAGCTTTGTTACACATGGATTAAGTAACTTTAACTTTACAACCGTTAATTAGAGTTTCACATAGAAAACTTATATGCAACATACCTTAAAACATACCTTATCATTTACTTAATACCTTATATTTTCTGAATTTTAAAATACACGTGAAAGATGAAAGTCCTAGCACTGACCGTTCAAAAGTTATGGCCAAGGTTAAAGTTTTTCAGAAGTAGGTCAAACTCCAAGGTCAAGGTCAAAGTTGTTGGTATCCAAAGGAAAGTCTTGTCACAAGGAATACAGATGTGAAGTATGAAAGCTAGCTCTGACATCAACTGTTCAAAAGTTATGGCCAAGGTTAAAGCTTTCCAAAAGTGGGTCAAACCCCAAGGTCAAGGTCAAAGGGTCAATGTTGTTGATATCCAAAGGAAGATCTAGTCATAAGGAATACAATGTACATATGTGAAGTATGAGAGCCCTAGTGCAAACCATTCAAAAGTTATGGCCAAGGTTAAACCCGTACCAAACATTCTAACAAATGCTCATGAGCAGCTCATGAGACTCACATGAGAATCTAGTAAGAAATGTATGCAAATTAGGTAGAATTGGATTTTGCTCCTGTGCAGATTGTTAGTCTTTGTTAGGGAGGAAAATACTAACCAAAATGTACATGTGCAAAATTATGCTCACTTGGATGCTCATGAGCAAAAGTCTATTCATTTGCTCACGTATGAACAGCCTTATATAAAGATGTAGCATTGGTAGTAATTTTTCTAAGTTCAGTTTTCTCACGTGAGCAAGAGGTTAGGAAATTGGACATAGTCAAAGTTCAGTATTACAGGTAGAACCAAAACCAAAGAATTACAAGTCTCATTTCCTCATGTGAGCATTTCAAATTTAATGCTCACGTGAGGAAACACAATACTTTGTCACTCTATGTGGTCCAAGCTTTACAAGCCTTCATTACAATTGCCCATGTGTTAACTGTTAATGCTTCCTGAAGATAGCATCACAAATAATTGGGGGCCAGGCAGGAATTTCTTAATTTCTTGAGCTTCTAATCTTCATCCCATCAGTTTGCAAATGCTTTCCTCTACCTAAACAACCTGTTGTGTCCCCCACAGTTGCTTAAAACTAGGGCAGTATCCAATGAGGGGAGCCAGTCAGGATTTGTGTGCGCTTTGAGACTAGTTCAAAATTTCAATCCAAAATGTTTGTGAAGGACAGGAAAGTATATACTGGTAGATTTATGCAGTAAAGAAGTGAAATATGCTTTGGGAAATACGTCATGTCATCACCATATTGAACTGGATGTCAACATTTTAAAAGCTACAAATGTATATCTTATGTCCATGAAATGAGGAAATATTAAAGATCAATTACGAATGACCATATGAGCAACTCACGTGAGGAAATCTGGTTAGTCCTCATGTGAGCTGCTCATGAGCAAATTGTGAGAATGGTTTGGTATGGGAACTTGGGTAAAATTTTGCAAAACTGGGACAAACTCCAAGGTAAAGGTCAAATATGATGGTACCCAAAAGGTCTTGTCACAAGGAATACACGTGAAATATGAAAGCCTTAGCTCCCACCAATCAAAAGTTATGGGCAAGGTTAAATTTTTTTTTGCAGACAGCTAGACAGACAGAGAAAAATGCTTCATCTTGCATCCACTCTCTCTGTTGTAACCAAGGGCTGTGGTATGTTGAATATCATATAATTCACTACATGATCAATTCTTACCTCAGGTAACTCTTGTGAATACTAAATTCCATCACGTGACTTGTAAGGGAGCATATTTTGTGCTAAATAGGACATGTGCTCTAACATGTTGAATTGTCAGGCATCAATTCAAAAATTCTTTACTAATATGGATGTGCTTATATTGTTAATTTCATTTTGAATCCTTTGTAAATAGTGTACTTGTGCCATACAGATTAAAGGGGGAAATGGGAAAGAGTAATCTCGTATTTTTATACATGTCATTGTTATTTATCTAGTCTAATTTCAAAGCCATTCTTACAATGTTAGTTTCACCTCTCATGCAAACCAAATGTTTTAATCAACAAAATCAAGGGCAGGTTAGTGTAGATTCTCTACATTTAGAAAGCAGAAAAGACAAAAAACATATAATTGTTTTATTGTATGACAGTCTAAAATCATTTTAATATTTAAATTCGGTGCCAAATTGAGAATTGAGAGAATTCTTTAGTAAATACATGTATACAAAAGTGAAATAAGGTATGAAAGCAAAAGAAACACCAGAAAAAGACCCATTGCAGTTATCTTTTATTTTAGAGGAGGGTGTAAAGCATCATTAGGCATAATAAAAATTGTACAAAGGAAAAAAAATCTTCAATTATACAGAAAATAAGAAGAAAGTTGGAAACTACGTTGTGTATGTACTTTAGCTCTTCAAATCATTGGTCAAACGTTACTCATGAATATTTATATCGTGGAACTTTTATTTCAGTTTTGATTAGAACTTTGAATGTGGCATACCTTCAAAAAGTACATTAATTCAAACAGGTCTCTCTAGATCCCCTTATCATTGGTGCCTGACTTAAAGATCTGCATGGATTGCACACACTGTCTTTTTTCTGTTTTTATGAAATGTTTCAGAAATCTCTTAGCATTTTTCCAAGTTGAGAACAAAATTTTATATGTGGGGTAAAATATACACCTTCCTGTATCATTTCTTATTTTTGCATGATTCCTTGGGATATCAATAATAGTATTTCCTTGAAATTTAAGAATAGCACTTCAGTTTGTACCAAGGAAAGACACTGATTAAAAGTGAAACATTTTCATCATGTAACTTTAGTGGGCACCATTCCAAAACACTCCCAAAGAACTGTACAAGGTAAAAGCATATTTTTGCCCCTATAAAAGCCAATTTTTTAAAAATCTTTAAAAATGTTATAATTTCATATATTGTATGAAATATCTTAAATGACAAAAATTATTATAGTTTGGAAGTATATTATAGGCAATTCTTGTTTCTGTGATGTCACAAAGTTTTTCTGTTATTTCAAGAAAGAGGACAAAATGGACAAAATTCATTCAGTTTTGAGTATAGAATTTACTGAGCACAAGCTTGCCCCAGAACAATATTCACATATTTCATTGATATAATCATTCTACACATTATATCAAAAGATCAAGATGGACAGACCTGTGCTTAATGATTTTAATCAAAATACTGGTGTCTGAAAAATACACTTTTTTCTCTCAAAATCAATAAAATTTTGAATTTACATCATCCTCTTGACATCATGGCTGACGAAATTAGGTAATGCTTTCTTTCAAGTCTGCAGTTATCCCCCTGGTTAGAACTTATTATAGATTTCTCCATCAAAAATTGATTCGGGGGGCAGATATTGGTCATTACATAATATAGTCCTTCGAAGTTTGTTCAGCACAAATACAACATGCATAAAAAAATTCTGTTATAAAAAATATTTTTAATCTTTCATTTTACATCTGTTATAAATACCTGCAATAAAAAATGTATCTCAATGTCACAAGAGAAAAGTTTCACTTCTTTTTTCCAAGTTTCATTAAAATCCATTCCAATAATTTCCTTATCCATGGGATATGATAAAACTGTAAATAAAAAAAGAAATATCATTAAATTAACCTTCTTACAATAGCCATGTCTTTTAAGAGAGAGAGAGTTTTATTGTACAGTAAATGTAAAAAAGGAAAAAAAAAGTGGATATTAATAAATTTGCATGAGTACAAACTACTCCAGCAAGCTAGAAGTTCAGGACAATATTCTTTAAACTTGGCTCCCATGTATATCAGGAGTATAGGGATAACCCAGGCTTGTAACTGTGGTACAGTGTAAACTAACTATAGCTACTACATGTATGTGTATAATCTTTAAGAAGTATTAATATAACTTGACAGTCACCTGAGAATCGTGAGTTTCTCAGACTATGATCATGCAACTCACATGAGTCCAGGAACTCTGGATTTAAGTAACATGGATTTTACAAACCGATTCAGACTTCAGAGTGCCTAACTAGTAATGCAGGGATCCTGGGTTTGATTCCTGGTCCAGTCATACATTTTCTCCTTTCCTGTTACATAATTTGGTACCATTGACCAACCCTGGATTTGCAGGTGAAAGTTCTGCCAGGGGCAATAAGAACTTGGGTTTTGTCTTCAAGAGTGAAGACAATTAAACCAAGGAGGAATGTAATGGTTTTGGCCGTGGATATCGGCCTGAATAGCTCAGTGATAGAGCACCTGACTAGTGATACAGGGGTCCCAGGTTCAATTCCCGGTCCAGCCATACATTTTCTCCTTTCCTGTTACAATATCGGATCTTAATATGATCAACTAAGCCCAATCTGGGGCCTAAATCCTGGGGACACAAATTTCACAATTTGGTAACAAAATCATGCTTACTGCCATCATGCATATAGTTTGCCTGCAAACTGTCAAGGAATACCAAAAAAATCAAAAATACAATGAACAATTAATTTTCTATGTTTTACCAATTATTCCCACCCTGAAGCCTGAATCCTTGCCCCCAAGGTACTTCAATTTCAAAGCTATGGTAGAGGGCCAGCTGCTAATCATAATCATGTGTGCTAGATGTCCATGAAGATTTTAAAATTGTAATAAGTTTTTAATACATGTATTTGACAAACTTTGCTGAGCACTTTCAGTAATAAAAAATAAAAATGACTACAATAAAACACATTTATAGCAAACACTCTTATAATAAATTTACACTTACATCAAAGTGATTTTTGTTCCCCATGGTTTAAAAAGTATTGTGACCTTAACAGATATAGGGAATTATGTTTATAACAAAGCAAAACTGTCCATCTCTGGCACTTCACTAAAATTGTCTTACGTACTTCAATAAATAGCAATACCTTCGTGCCATTACTTCAGTCAGAACCTGAAAATAGAAACAATTAAGTGCAGAAAAAATGAAACGGCAACAATATATGGGTACTGCTTATAATATTGTGTGAATGAAGTCATTTAAAAAGTCTATGTTCCATATTGTTATTTCTAATGTCAGAGTCCAAATTAAGTTTTTTTTTTTTTTCTTATACTTGTCAGACAGATAAGCTCATTAGAAGATATTTAATATCACAAAAAAAAATTAAAGGAACGGAGGCAGGAGAGTGATTAGGCCTTTACCTATTATCAGTAAGATCAACAATTTTATGGAGATGTAGAGCCAAAACATTGAGAAGACTATGTTCCCCAGTCTTGGACTGGAATGATAATGGTAGTACTTCTGTTGTGTCCTATAGTCCCCCCAGGGGTTACTCCTCGTGTTTCCTCGTGACGAGTACTGATGGAATTCTTTATATAAGTCCTCGTATGCTTGACGTCTTTTTTCTTGGTTTCTTCGGATCATCTCGTCATACATTTCCTCCTGTCGTTGAGTTTGTTTTACCCAGTCCCTGTAAATGTCCTCGGCACTTTTGGGTGGGGCTCGGCTTTGCCGTTTGTAGTAATTTCTTACAAAATCATCTTCTGAGGTATTTCCCGCACTACGAGTGTACCTGACAAAATTAAGTTTAAAATCAATGCATGTAATAAATTATTTCTTTCCAAAATAACTTTTATTTAGATGAAAAGTGATTAAGTGAGCAAAATTGAGAAAAAAAAATTGTACTTATAATCACATGTATATTTTTTTTCGATATGTTTAATAATGGTAAAACTTTATGCAGATATCTGATACATGTATGTACATGTAAATTAACTTAAATTTATTCTATGGTTATACCTGATACATGTAAATATACAAAATAAGAGGAGGATTTTGTGTGTGTACCAGTATGGACTTCTGTTGTCAGGTGATTTTTACATTTAGTACATAACTGTGGTTTGTAATTTCAGTTTACCTGTCCTGTCACCTATACATGTATTACCTGGTAATGGACTGTCACTTTGTCAGCTATATTACCTGGTAATGTACTGTCACTTTGTCACCTATATTACCTGGTCATGTACCATCACTTTGTCAGCTATATAACCTGGTAAGGTACTGTCACTTTGTCACCTATATTACCTGGTAATGTATCGTCACTTTGTCATCTATATTACCTGGTCATGTACTGTCACTTTGTCACCTATATTACCTGGTAATGTACCGTCACTTTGTCAGCTATATTACCTGGTCATGTACTGTCACTTTGTCACCTATATTACCTGGTAATGTACCGTCACTTTGTCAGCTATATTACCTGGTCATGTACTGTCACTTTGTCACCTATATTACCTGGTAGTGTACCGTCACTTTGTCACCTATAATACCTGGTAATGTACTGTCACTTTGTCACCTATATTACCTGGTAATGTACTGTCACTTTGTCACCCATATTACCTGGTAACGTACTGTCACCTTGTCACCTATATTACCTGGTAATGTACTGTCACTTTGTCAGCTATATTACCTGGTAATGTACTGTCATTTTGTCACCCATATTACCTGGTAACGTACTGTCACCTTGTCACCTATATTACCTGGTAATGTACTGTCACTTTGTCAGCTATATTACCTGGTAATGTACCGTCACTTTGTCACCCGTATTACATGGTCATGTACTGTCATTTGTCACCTATATTACCTGGTCATGTACCGTCACTTTGTCATCTATATTACCTGGTCATGTACTGTCACTTTGTCACCTATATTACCTGGTAAGGTACTGTCACTTTGTCACCTATATTACCTGGTCATGTACCATCACTTTGTCACCTATATTACCTGGTCATGTACTGTCACTTTGTCATCTATATTACCTGGTCATGTACTGTCACTTTGTCATCTATATTATCTGGTAATGTACTGTCACTTTGTCAGCTATATTACCTGGTAATGTACTGTCACTGTGTCACCTATATTACCTGGTAATGTACTGTCACTTTGTCAGCTATATTACCTGGTAATGTACTGTCACTTCGTCACCCATATTACCTGGTCATGTACCGTCACTTTGTCACCTATATTACCTGGTAATCTACTGTCACTTTGTCACCTATATCACCTGGTCATGTACTGTCACTTTGTCAGCTATATTACTTGGTAATGCACTGTCACCTTGTCACCCACATTACCTGGTAATGTACTGTAACTTTGTCACTTATATTACCTGGTCATGTACTGTCATTTGTCACCTATATTACCTGGTAAGGTACTGTCACTGTGTCACCTATATTACCTGGTAATGTACTGTCACTTTGTCACCTATATTACCTGGTAATGTACCATCACTTTGTAAGCTATATTACCTGGTAATGTACTGTCACTTTGTCACCTACATTACCTGGTCATGTACTGTCACTTTGTCACCTATATTACCTGGTAAGGTACTGTCACTGTGTCACCTATATTACCTGGTAAGGTACTGTCATTTGTCACCTATATTACCTGGTAAGGTACTGTCACTTTGTCACCTATATTACCTGGTAATGTACCGTCACTTTGTCATCTATATTACCTGGTCATGTACTGTCACTTTGTCATCTATATTACCTGGTAATGTACCGTCACTTTGTCATCTATATTACCTGGTCATGTACTGTCACTTTGTCATCTATATTACCTGGTAATGTACTGTCACTGTGTCACCTATATTACCTGGTAATGAACTGTCACTTTGTCACCTATATTACCTGGTAATGTACTGTCACTTTGTCAGATGATTTGTACATATACATTCATTTACATTTGATTCTTATACTATTAAATGATAATTTGTACATCCAGTAAGGTATAAACATGTACTGATGATATGTACAAATGTTACAATGTACACATATGCACTGACGAAAATTTTTTCAGAGAACTCACTGTGTACTGTAAGTTGTCCTATAATGTTGTTTATTTATCTTTATGTCATACTCAGCTCTTCCCCGAGGGTCATTGAGAACATTGTAAGCTTCTTGTAGCTGGACAAATTTTTGCTGAGCTTGTGGATCACCTGGATTTGCATCAGGATGATACTGAAACAATTAAAAACAAGAGGCCCAAGGTCCTTAACGGTCACCTGAGTATAATACAACAATTTAGAAGTTAAATACACTGACAGATGAAGCTTTGTTGCCCTAAAGCAAGAGAAGTAGGAAGATCAGGATCAACAAAATAATTAGTCTAGTATTCAGTATCAACTCATAACTTAAGTTCTAATCTGTCCCCCACTTAATATTATCAACATGCAGACTCTATTGAAAATCAATAGAGCCCCACCCTAACACAGGAACCCCTGACCCTGGGGCCATGAAATTCACAATTTTTAAAAAGGCATCCTTATGCATCATAACCATGCACTTAGTTTGTTTAAATAATCTCCAGTAGCCAATAAGAAGATTTTCATAGAATCAATGCATTTTCACTATATAATCAATAGAGCCCCGCCCTAACACAGGAACCCCTGACCCTGGGGCCATGAAATTCACAATTTTTAAAAAGGCATCCTTATGCATCATAACCATGCACTTAGTTTGTTTAAATAATACCCAGGAGCAGAGAAGAAGATTTTCAAAGAATTAATGCATTTTCACTATATAATCAATAGAGCCCTGCCCTAACACCAGAACCCCTGACCCAGGGGCCATGGCTTTCACAATTCTGGAAGGGGCCCACCTCCTCATCATAACTATGTACTTAGTTTATCACCTTAATGCCCAGGAGCAGAGGAGAAGATTTTCAAAGAATTAATGCATTTTCACTATATAGTCGATAGAGCCCCACCCTAACACCAGAACCCCTGACCCTGGGGCCATGAAATTCACAATGTGGGAAGAGGCTCTCTTGCTCATCATAACTATGTACTTAGTTACTTAATTTAATACCCAGGAGCAAAGAAGAAGATTTTCAAAGAATTAATGCATTTTCACTATATAATCAATAGAGCCCCGCCCTTACACCAGAACCCCTAACCCCGGGGCCATGAATTTCACAATTTTGGAAGAGGCACTCTTGTTCATCATAACTATGTACTTAGTTACCTTATTTAATACCCAGGAGCAGAGAAGAAGATTTTCAAAGAAATAATGCATTTTCACTATATGATCTATATAGCCCCATCCTGGGGCCAGAACCCCTGACCCTGGGGCCATGAATTTCACAATTTTGGAAGAGGCACTCTTGCTCTTCATAACTACAGGGTGTTTCATAATATATGTTACATTTTGAATCTTCTATTTAACAAACACAAGAAAAAGATACACACAAGTGTTTTTATCAACTTGATGCATATATCCATAAGATTCATTATGTACGATTACCAACTAAAATATTAAAAACTGGACGAAATCTCAAACATTAATGAAAATTAGTGAAATTTCTAAATTACATCATTTTTATAACGTTGAATTTCAAAACGTCAAAAGTCCACGTTACATGTTCTTAATGACCTCCACTATTACACCTACAAATGAAAGTTGCTTCTCGAAATTTGTAAAACCTCGTCACAATTTTTTGCTTAGACACTCCTCATTTGAAGGTTTGTTTCTTTTGAGCTCTTTCAGTATCTGTTGTCTAGGATTGTAGACCCTGTTCCTAAAGACCCCCCCCCCCCCAAAAAAAAAAGCCCGAAGATTGAGATTGGCGAATGCAGAGAGCAAACTCTTTTCTTGGGGTATTGCATTATTGAAAAATTTGTACGCTGATAACTTCATATCATATTTCAAAGTTCAATATATGATGGGAATGCTGATATGGACAGCATCAATTTCTGAAAACATCCGTCTGACAGTTTTCTCAGGAGTTTGCTAAACTATCTAAGAGTCTCCACTTCACCAATTAAATCTTTGGTTCTTGAAGTCCTTAGGCTTTCTGGAGTTATTGTGTCATTTATCGCATATTACTCGTCCCTGTCCTTTAACCTTGTCTAGCCTTCTGATAAGCATCCTAAAGAGCTTCTATTCTATTGGAATATTTCCTTAATCAACTTCTGAATGAATATTGGCGACATGCATTGAAAAAAAAAACAATTTTACAATTCAGCAATATGTTGATAAGTTAAGTCCATTTCGAAAAATATTCAAATTATGACATCGGCGTTTATGTCACAATTAATCATTGTATTACCATGATTTCCTTGACTTTTTCACATGGCATAAAAATGCAGTTTGTAATAGAAATATGATAGGTAACAAAAATAATTAGATTTAAAAATGTAACATATATTATGAAACACCCTGTATGTACTTAATTACCTTATTTAATACCCAGGAGCAGAGAAGAAATTTTCAAAGAAATAATGCACTTTCACTATATGATCTATATAGCCCCACCCTGGGGCCAGAACCCCTGACCCTGGGGCCATGAATTTCACAATTTTGAAAGAGGCACTCTTGCTCCTCATAACTATGTACTTAGTTACTTTATTTAATACCCAGGAGCAGAGAAGAAGATTTTCAAAGAATTAATGCATTTTCACTATATAATCAATAGAGCCCTGCCCTAACACCAGAACCCCTGACCCAGGGGCCATGGCTTTCACAATTCTGGAAGGGGCCCACCTCCTCATCATAACTATGTACTTAGTTTATCACCTTAATGCCCAGGAGCAGAGGAGAAGATTTTCAAAGAATTAATGCATTTTCACTATATAGTCGATAGAGCCCCACCCTAACACCAGAACCCCTGACCCTGGGGCCATGAAATTCACAATGTGGGAAGAGGCTCTCTTGCTCATCATAACTATGTACTTAGTTACTTAATTTAATACCCAGGAGCAGAGAAGATTTTCAAAGAATTAATGCATTTTCACTAGATAGTTGATAGAGCCCCGCCCTAACACCAGAACCCCTGACCCTGGGGCCATGAATTTCACAATTTTGGAAGAGGCACTCTTGCTCATCATAACTATGTACTTAGTTACTTTACTTAATACCCAGGGGCAGAGAAGAAGATTTTCAAAGAATTAATGCTTTTTCACTATATAATCTATAGAGCCCCGCCCTAACACCAGAACCCCGACCCTGGGGCCATGAAATTCACAATTTTGAAAGAGGCACTCTTGCTCATCATAACTATGTACTTAGTTACTTTATTTAATACCCAGGAGCAGAGAAGAAGATTTTCAAAGAATTAATGCATTTTCACTATATAATCTATAGAGCCCTGCCCTTACACCAGAACCCCTAACCCCGGGGCCATGAATTTCACAATTTTGGAAGAGGCACTCTTGCTCATCATAACTATGTACTTAGTTACCTTATTTAATACCCAGGAGCAGAGAAGAAGATTTTCAAAGAAATAATGCATTTTCACTATATGATCTATATAGCCCCACCCTGGGGCCAGAACCCCTGACCCTGGGGCCATGAATTTCACAATTTTGGAAGAGGCACTCTTGCTCATCATAACTATGTACTTAGTTACTTTATTTAATACCCAGGAGCAGAGAAGAAGATTTTCAAAGAATTAATGCATTTTCACTATATAATCTATAGAGCCCCGCCCTTACACCAGAACCCCTGACCCTGGGGCCATGAATTTCACAATTTTGGAAGAGGCACTCTTGCTCATCATAACTATGTACTTAGTTACCTTATTTAATACCCAGGAGCAGAGAAGAAGATTTTCAAAGAAATAATACACTTTCACTATATGATATATATAGCCCCACCCTGGGGCCAGAACCCCTGACCCTGGGGCCATGAATTTCACAACTTTGGAAGAGGCACTCTTGCTCATCATAACTATGTACTAAGTTACTTTATTTAATACCCAGGAGCAGAGGAGAAGATTTTCAAAGAATTAATGCATTTTCACTATATAATCTATAGAGCCCCGCCCTAACACCAGAACCCCTGACCCTGGGGCCATGAATTTCACAATTTTGGAAGAGGCACTCTTGCTCTTCATAACTATGTACTTAATTACCTTATATAATACCCAGGAGCAGAGAAGAAGATTTTCAAAGAAATAATGCACTTTCACTATATGATCTATATAACCCCACCCTGGGGCCAGAACCCCTAACCCTGGGGCCATGAATTTCACAATTTTGGTAGAGGGCTCAATGCTTATTACAATGATGCCAACAGTTTGACTGCTTGATGTCCAGGAGTAAAGAAGAAGATTTTTAAAGATTGCATTATTTTTGGTGGTTTTAGCCCCACCCCTCAGGCCCCAGGGGGGCAGGGACCATGAAATTCACAATTTTTGTTCCCCTTCACCCATAGATGCTATATGCCAAATTTGGTTGAAATTGGTTAAGCGGTTTCAGAGAAGAAGCTAAAAATGTTCAAATGTTAACGCACGACGCACGCCGACGGACGAGAACGGATAGCAATAGGTCACCTGAGTGACTCAGGTGACCTAAAAATCAGGATCTGGAATTTCTGACTAATGAGCAACAATCCATTGATTTTTATAATATTCCGACTAGTGAAGAGACCGTTTTATTTCCTATGTAGCTTGTAATGCAAGTTTTGATTGGTTTTAAAGTCAGGTGTTAATTTCTGTACACCCAACTTGAGCCGGGGGTAAAAAATGTGACGTCACAATGCATAGTTTCTCTATGATAAAAAGCAAATAACATGACATCATAATGCACTGTAGGACGTAATAAATCTAGCCGATAGCTTGAAACATAGTTCACTGGACTTGTTGACAACGTATTTATTTGGGTACATAGGAAATAAATTTGTTATCCAGGTCTAGTCAAGGGTGTAAGGGGATTTACCCTGGGTTGTATTCCATACACCCTTCAGTCTGAGGGTCTATGGAATAAACTCCAGGGTAAAACCCCGTACACCCTTGATTGAACCTGGATAACTAATAATATCCTGGACAGGATATGAATGCTAAATTTCTTTAGCATTGCAGTAAGAAATGATTTGTTGAATCAAGATATGTACACCTACTTGTTTGAAGATTTATCAAATAAAAATTTCACAAAGCAGGACATAAATTAATGTATTCATAATCTTCACATTACCTTTTTGCACAACTCTATATAAGCAGCTCTGATTTCCTTTGCACTGGCCTGTTTTTGCACTCCTAAAACTTCATAGTGTGTTCTTGATAGGGAGGGAGAGTAGTGTCTGAAATTTGTATAAGTAATGCATACACTTCATTCTATATTTGAGAAATTTCATTTTTTAAGTTCAACTTAATAACTTTCCACTAAGTTTAATCAATGTGCATACAACTTTAGCAACTGCAATAGTTTCATAATGATTTTGTTATTGTAGCTTATCTTAAAACTGACTTGGTTTTCCCCCTCATATTTTTTTTTTTTTAATGTTGTTCAATGGTTCATATTCACCTTAGAAGAAGCAGCCTACATGATGAAACATGTGTATGCAGAGACCCCTTCACTAAGCATGGTTGGTGTAACATAATTTATGTCAGCATCTTCAGTGGCCTGCAATGAAAAAAACTTGTTAAATAATTTTAGGTTTTTAAAAGAAAGCATATACTGGTACTTTGCTATTCATTTTTACAACAAACATATCCTTGACTCTGAAATAAATTGGGAAGCATTTATTTCATAATGGAGAAAATGGAACAAAAAAAAAACAAAAAAAAAAAAACAAGAAGCCCATGGGCCACATCGCTCACCTGAGCACATTGGCTAGGTTTTAGGATGCTTCCATATCAATAAAAGTAATGGCTTTGCTGTTCTTGAGCAGATGATTTTTAAAGATTTTTAAAAGATTTTTTCCTATATATTCCTTTGTAAAAAAAAAAAAAATTGATCCCTCATTGTGGCCCCTCCCTACCCCAAGGGGTCTTCATTTGATCAAACTTTAATCTACACTACCTAAAGACGCTTCCATATTAATATGACTTATCATGGATTTACTGTTCTTGAGGAGAAGATTTCAAAAGTTTTTTCCTATGTAAAACTGATCCCCCTTGTAACCCCACCCTACCCTGGGGGGGGGGGGGTCATGATTTAAACAAATTGAATCTACACTACCTAAAGTTGCTTCGATATTGTCCCGAAATTACACGGAAAGTCTAGAGAGAACAAGTTTGGCGCAGTTTCTGACCTCTCTTGACTGTTTCTGTGTAATTCCGGGATGCCTCTACATTTTACATAGTCAGAAATCATCACTTCCATTGCTTTCAGTTCTCAGTGCTAGGTATTGAGGTTGTTTTGGTTTACTGCATGTTTTATACTCCAAGTTCACAGACAATTGAGGGACATTATTCAATCAATTTTGAAGCTAGATCTCACCCGACACCGGTAGGAAGCGTACATATTGATCAAAATCAAGTGTGAACCGAGGCACCCCCTGAAATCCAAGATGACAACTGTCATACCTTCACTCTTTTTATATACAGACATACAGTTATATGATATTTTTTAACCCTGCTAATTTCAGTGATTTTGGCTTTTTATTTTAATGAGTGTATTCAGACACACCTAGAAAATATATAAAACACAAAATGCACCATCCTGAAACCAAGCGCCTATGTGAAATATTGCTGTCAAGATTGATACAGGCGAATTATGCAATACGCAAATCTGTTATGTCTCTTATTACAAGTTGTACGATCGAACACCCACCTGTTAGCGTTTCTTTAGCGAGAGTTATTGTCCTTGTGTCATAAAGTAAAATTTCTGTTCCTTATGGCATGTTTTTCGCATTCGAAAAAATATTTAAAGCGAATGTTTATAGTTTACCCAAACCTTCAGCAGTTCAACCCCATAACCAGAAGTAGAAAGTGAAAGGTTAATAACAAAACCTGTAACGGGCGAATTTCTTTCCCGGATTATGAAACGAGAGCGGCGGAAAGTCAGTGATGAGTACACATGCAGTTTCGAGGTGATTGAATGTACAGTGCTGTCCTATTAGTTGATGCATGGTAGACAAAGACACAGAACTCATAATACATGTATGAACTGATATACATGGACCACACACCAGGGCAGAAGCAACACTGAGTAACTTCAGTAAGTTTGCTTCCTGACAGAATGTCAAATAGAAAGATCCGAGAAAAGGGACTTTGCTTTTGGTACATTGTATATGATAACAAATCAATCATTTTTCTTACTGAGAAGCACCATTCAAATTAGGGCTTTTCCTAAGTTGACATAACAAGAGGCACAGGGGCCACATCGCTCACCTGAACATTTTGGCGAGGAAAAAGAATAAATCAGCTCAGTATTGAAAAGTTTAAATATAAAAGTGGTTCGGGGAGGGGGTATGATTTGAACAAGCTTAAATATGACACATAATGGCTTTGCTGTTTTTAAGTTGAAAATTTTTATTGATAATATTATATTCTAAATTTTTATAACTCTGATCCCCTGTTATGGCCCCTCTATTCTCCTTGGGAGGTTCATGATTTGAACAAATTTAAATCTACATCACCTTTTTGGATGCTTTTTTTATATTTTTGACCAATCATGGCTTTTTTGGGAGCCGGTATGATTTGAACAAACTTAAATATGACACATATTGGCTTTGATGTTTTTAAGATGAAACTTTTTATTGATAATTAATTATCCTTTATATTCCTTTGTATAACTATGATCCCCTGTATGATCCCTCTCTTCTCCTGGGGGGGGGGGGGTCATGATTTGAACAAATTTAAATTTAGATTATCTTTTTTGATACTTTTATATTTATGACCAATCATGGATTTGTTGTTCTTGTACAGAATTTTAAAGATTTTTCGTATGTATTCCAATGTAAAACTGTGATCACCCATTGTGGCCCCACCCTACCCCGGGGGTCATGATTTGAACAAACTTGAATCTACACTACCTGAAGATGCTTCCATATAAATGTGACCATACATGGCTTTGCTGTTCTTGAGAAGAAGATTTTGAAAGGTTTTCCCAATGAATTCATATGTAAAACTTTGATTGCCCATTGTGGCCCCACCCTACCCCCAGGGGTCATGATTTGAACAAACTTGAATCTACACTACCTGAGGATGCTTCCATATAAATATGACTAATAATGGCTTTGTTGTTCTTGAGAAGAAGATTTTTAAAGATTTTTCTTATGTATTTGTATGTTACACTTTGATCCCCCAATGTGGCCCCACCCTACCCCCGGGGGTCATAATTTGAACAAATTTGAATCTACGCTACCTCACAATGATTCCACATAAGTTTCATATTTTCAAGCACAGTGGTTCTTGAGAATATTTTTAAACATCGTCGGTAACCCACGGGTGACTCACATCGATTCTCTCTATCAGGTAGCTTGTGGACTCAAAACCGTGGTTTGCGACAATGATTATTAGCTCACCTCGACGAAGTCGAGATGAGCTTATGCTATACCCCCGGCGTCGGCATCGGCGTCGGTGTCGGCGTCGGCGTTAGCGTCGGCGTCCCAGGTTAAAGTTTTAGGAGCAAGTCCCATTCCCAAGTAACTATAAGCCCTACCTGGACCAAACTTGCATGGATGATGCATCTAGGGATGGACACTACCACACTTGCTTCGGATGCTGGATCTGACCTAGATTTTCCAGATGAGTGACCAGGTTAAAGTTTTAGGAGCAGGTCCATTCCCAAGTAACTATAAGCCCTACCTGGACCAAACTTGCATGGATGATGCATCTAGGGATGGACAATACCACACTTGTTTGGGATGCTGGATCTGACCTAGATTTTCCAGATGAGTGACCAGGTTAAAGTTTTAGGAGCAGGTCCATTCCCAAGTAACTATAAGCCCTACCTGGACCAAACTTGCATGGATGATGCATCTAGGGATGGACACTACTACACTTGCTTCGGATGCTGGATCTGATGTAGATTTTCCAGATGAGTGACCAGGTTAAAGTTTTAGGAGCAGGTCCATTCCCAAGTAACTATAAGCCCTACCTGGACCAAACTTGCATGGATGATGCATCTAGGGATGGACACTACCACACTTGCTTCGGATGCTGGATCTGACCTAGATTTTCCAGATGAGTGACCAGGTTAAAGTTTTAGGAGCAGGTCCATTCCCAAGTAACTATAAGCCCTACCTGGACCAAACTTGCATGGATGATGCATCTAGGGATGGACACTACCACACTTGCTTCGGATGCTGGATCTGACCTAGATTTTCCAGATGAGTGACCAGGTTAAAGTTTTAGGAGCAGGTCCATTCCCAAGTAACTATAAGCCCTTCCTGGACCAAACTTGCATGGATGATGCATCTAGGGATGGACATGGCCACACTTACTTCGGATGCTGGATCTGATGTAGATTTTCCAGATGTTAAGCAGGTTAAAGTTTTAGGAGCAGGTCCATTCCCAAGTAACTATAAGCCCTACCTGGACCAAACCTGCATGGATGATGCATCTAGGGATGGACACTACCACACTTGCTTCGGATGCTGGATCTGACCTAGATTTTCCAGATGAGTGACCAGGTTAAAGTTTTAGGAGCAGGTCCATTCCAAAGTAACTATAAGCCCTACCTGGACTAAACTTGCATGGATGATGCATCCAGGGATGGACACTACCACACTTGCTTCGGAAGCTGGATCTGACCTAGATTTTCCACATGTGAGACCAGGTTTAGATTTAGGAGTAGTCTCGTTCCCAAGTAACTATAAGCCCTACCTGGACCAAACTTGCATGGATGATGCATCTAGGGATGTACACTAACCAACCTGCTTCGAATGCTGGATCTGACCTAGATTTTCCACATGAGTGAATTTTAGCCATATTTTAACCAAATTAGCATGGATGATGTATCTAGGGATGGATACTTCCAGACTTGCCTTGGATTCTGAATCTGACGTACATTTTCCAGATGAGTGACCAGGGTAATTTTTTGGAGTAGCTATATAATATTATGGCCTGTTATGATTAAACTTGCATAGATGGTGCATCTAAGGATGAAAACTTCCAGACTTGCTTTGGATGTTGGAACTGACCAAAATTTTCTTGATTACTAAACAGGTCAAAAGTTTTTTGAGCAGATCTATAATTAAATCAAACTTGCATGGATATTGATCTTGGGATGTACCCTAACTAGAAAAAAATATGATGTGAAATTTGCCTTACATGTAGATAACATTCGTCGAGGTGAGCTTCGTAATCTTTGATTACCTATGTTTAAATGATGCCATTAATTTTTCACAAAATCATAATTATCGCCCCTTGGAAAAAGGTGTGACCCTTCATTTAAATTAACTTGAATCCTCTTTACTCAAGGATACTTTGTGGCAAGTTTGGTTGAAATTGGCCCAGTGGTTCTTGAGAAGAAGATGAAAATATGAAAAGTTAATTTCAAAATAGCCTCCTTTACGCTATTTAATTTTCTCAAAGTCCCAAAATACATTCTTCATCAGTGTAGAGAGGGTCCATAAGATAGTATTTACTCTAATTCATGATGTGGAAGTTATGGTCTAGACTGAAAACCAACATGTCTACTCTCATAAAGGAGACAATAAAAGAAACAGATTTCCTCCCTATTCTCTCAGGTTAGGGACCAGAAAAGCTACCTACTGACTTGTCATGGACTTAGTTAGTGGTGGAGTTAATTGTAAATAATTCATTGAGATAAGTGTCATTTAATAGGTTTTTTTGTTTTTGTTTTTATTGCTACAGATAATTGTTGGTATGTAATGCTGCACCAAAGTAATGTTCGTGGAGTCCACATGTTTATTACGATACAAGATATTTCACAGACTTCCTCCCTGCCAGGTTAGCTTTCTCAGGTATGCATTTCCTTAACTAAATTTATCCTTGCAAATTGGGTAACTGGACTTTACTCTTCTAATGTATTTGAAAGAAAATTCATTTTATTTAGTACTGGGCCAAGTTTGTAACAGCTAAGCTTGATAAGTGCTAGATGTAGCCCTCTTGAATGGACTGCTGTTTGAAGTGTACAAAATATTTTGAAATACCTTCTTTTGTTTTGAAGGAAATGTGCATCACTGCCTTCACAAAATCATTACCAGATTCTGGGTATAAATCAAAGAGCAGACAACAAAGAAATAAGGGCAGCATACATTGCAAAGTGTAAAAAGGTACAGTTGTCAGACAGAAAGAAGGAAATTAATTAATCTAGAAAACTTTAAAAAGCATTGAACCTGACCATTTTGATTCTGAATTTTTCAGTATCATCCAGATACCAATCCAGATGACTCTCAAGCTCAGCAGAAGTTTATCCGTTTACAGGAAGCTTACAATGTACTTAGTGACCCCAAGGAAAGGATCCACTACGACATGCACTTCTACAGAATAAGAATGGACACCCAAAAGAAGTAAACTATCAGTTACTGAAACTTGCTCTCACTTTAATCCCAATGAATAGAATTTTGACTCATGGAGACTTCTTTTACATAAGATTTTCCAGTAAAGAATGAGTGGACTTAACGCCCTATTTTGGGTCTTTTTGTGATCCTCTACTAAACTGTAAATGAAGTGAATCCAAAATATTTTAGAAGCAATAGCAAGATTGACATATACATGATTATATTAGGTAGATCATTTGTACTGTAGTGGTTTAGATTTCTATTTCATAGCCCTCGTTTCGTAAATTATATTTTGCAAGTATTTGTTGGTATTTCAGTCTGATAATTCTATTTACCTTATGTTTTCAGTTGTTACTTACGTAAAACCCCATTATTATTTGTCTTTTATAAGTTAGGACATGTGTTGACATTCCACGTTTAACTTTTTAAACAGGAAGTGTCATCCATGTTGGGAGTCTTTCCATAGTACTTTTGGTAGCTGTGTTCTGATTGGTTTAGTTAGCTATAGGATCTTTGATGTTCATTGGCTTTTATTTTTGGGCCTATAGCTAGGGTATTTAAAGCTGTGTTCGTGTAGTTTTCTTCACTTGGGTTGGGGAACAGAACCTCATGGTTAGTTCCTCTTTACTGTGCTAAGAAAACCTCATGGTTTATGAGCACTATTTGATTAGTGCCTTAGAGTGCTAAGAAAACCTCATGGTTTAACAGTACTCTAGGTCTTGGCTAGCTTTAGTTTCATGTTTTTCACAAGTTCTAGGTTTTTGTTAGGAAACAGTTAGGATGTAGGTTTTATAGAGTTAATTTATTTTCCCCTTTCCAAGTCCAGCCTGGTCTAGGGATTTGTAGATAACAGGTATAATTCCTAGAACCACTATTTACTATTTGTTATTTATTTTTGGTGTTGTTTATTTTCTGGGTTAGATATTTTTTTTGAGTCCAGATTTGACTTTATTATTTTAAGTTCAACTCTAGAGTGTTGATTAGTAGAGTTCATATTGGGTGATGTAGCTCATTTCCCTTACATTTTTCCAACTCATTGACATTTACAGCATTTTTTTATAGGATTTTTGACCTTTTTCATAAGTATGGAAGCTCAGTAGGGACATAAATTATTTTTCAAAGGGTTTCCACATTCCTCCCATTTTTCCTATTAAATTTTTCACAAACTTCTTATTTATTTATTGAGATTATTGTTATTCACTTGCCAAATTAAATTATATTTTTGATAAAACTATTTATTCCTGTGCAATTTTGAAAGACTTTATTCTTGTTTAAATTTTGACTATTATTTATTATTTGTTATCATTTACAAAGGTTAATTCTCACTTTATTAAATTTATAAAACTTACAACTGTGTTTTCATGTAGCGTTGTTCATAGTTCAGATATCCCCTTACCTGGGTTGATAATCATAACTGGAGGCAGTTTACTGCTTTAAGCCAAGTTGGCTATTAACTTTGTTAAGTTATTCATTAAAGAGTTCTACTTCCGGTTACAGTACAAAAGAAAATACAAAATATTTGGGAGTAAAAGGACACAAAACTAATTGCGGATATTTCTCGCACACGAATAAAAGTTGGTATACAGTGTTGATCAGCATCATGTAGGCATCCCTCTCTCTCAATAGAAATTTGAATATGTATATAGTATCATTTAATGCCAATAACAGTGATGTAAATATGAAATTAAAAGATTTCTCTGGTAAATATTGTGAGGATACACAAAATTGTACAGCAGATTTAATTCGCTCAATTCTGCAAATGGCGGACCAACCAAACATGCTGTCAGGCCTGAATTAGGTTGAGGTAACATTTTAGAATAATTGATTTCACAAGTACACTCGCAGCTGGACACCAGGTGACGAATTGTAATTTAATTTTACAGGTCAATCTAGGTTCAATCAAGGTAAAAACAGTCATATTACAATGGAAGCGACATGTTTTTCTTGAACATGTTTTTTGTAAAATTGAGTATGAGCACAGATTTGTCCACTCATCTCCTTTTAATATGATGTTATCTTATTCAATATACACCTATAATATTCTTCAGAATGGCTGATAAATATGCCCTGAATATGTATTAAGATGCTGACAAAAGTGTGACCCTGATTATCTTTTGATATTCAAGAAATCTTCAGGTGCCATGATTTAGGTTTTTATTTGGTTTTCCTTGAAAAGAATTCTTTTAATTCAGAAATATATCTGTATTAAGAAAACACATTTAAGATAGCTGTTATTATGGAAAGAAACATTTTACTTCAATTGTCTGCTTTTTTTCAAGACTCTGAAGTCCACTCATTCTTTAGAAATGTTCAACAAAGCTAATTGAATTAAAAAAGAGATGTATTTTATTGTGAAGGGTAGGATAAAGGATTGGAAAGAGAAATGGGAAAAAGACATTCAAGGACAAAGAGAAATAAAATTGTAAAATGTGGTTAATCATTAAAGTGGCAGAAAGTATATCTTTCCTATCCGAGCAGGAGACCATTTGTCTGGTTTTCAATCTAATTATTGCTCAATTGCTTGTTCTACATTTTCTATTTTTTTCTTCATAAACTACATATTTTATATAAAGATATGATGTTGTAATTAAATGTTTTAATTATTAATTACACAGGACTTCTAGCAATGAAGGAGTTCATCATAAGGAGCAACAGGCAAGACATAGACCAGAGGACATGTACGGACAATGGTCAAACTATGGCAGACAACAGGCAAGACATAGACCAGAGGACATGTACAGACAATGGTCAAACTACGGCAGACAACAGGAAGAGACGTACGGTCAGTGGACCGGACAACGGGGAAAGTATGAGGAGTGGATCAAAGAAAACAAAAGTAGGCACAATTCAAACCAAGAACACAGTGAATATTATAACGAGGCCTTCTATCAACAGAAGTACTATGACATGTTTGGACCCTTTGGTTGTCTTGTGGATTCTTTCTTTGGAAACAAAGAGTCAAAGCAGGCATCCTTTCAAGATATTTTTCTCTTGTTTACCTTGATTAATATTTTCACCATCTTGGGATATGCTTCTGGGATATACCTGATCAAAGATATTACAGAGAGCGCGAGAAAATGGCAGCAACAAGGTAAGACGTACAATGTACAAGGTGATGGACCACTTACATGTATACATTAGAACCTCATTATGTTTAACTCGATTGGACCGAGTAAAAACTGAGACATATCCATGGTATTCAAGATATCAGTTCAACCGTATAAACATATCTATGATATACCATACTTCCTTCATAGCTGATTAAAATTAATAATAAATGAAAATGTCATAAAAATTTTCCCTTTTTTTTCAGTGAAGAAATAACAACTCGTAGTAGCAGTGGTGTGAAAGTGAGGTAGGGCTTTTATTTGAATCATTTGTTGTAAGGTCTTAACACCCGACAAGTCCCATACAATTTTTATGATTAAGTTAAGTGATTTATAATCAGTCTAGTCCATTTAAGCATCGTGTCCATTCAATTGTGCAGCAACAGGGCACATTTTGTCATTAGCATGAATCCTATAGTTAGTTTTCAATAGACTTTATTTTACCAAGAGTTGTTTCTATTTGGTCACCATATTGGAGGTCAACAAACCCAGATTCCTTCATTATTCAACCAATTTAAACTTGTCATACTGGGCAATGAGGTGAAGATAACACAGTTTTTCTTACAAATATATGTTTGTAACAAAAGCTTCCTTTAATTCAATTTTTTTGTATTTTTAAAGGTTTTTGCCCATTTATTTCTGCCATATGTTTAAAATAGGTTGCTCAAAGAGGAAAATTCACTAGTTTGACCTCCAAGATGGTGACCAAGGGAAATAACTCAAAGGGAAAATACATGTATCATACAAAAGCTATCTATTGTTTAGTTAGGAGTATTTAAAAGATCTGTCATTGTTGGATACTGACGGGAGATCTCGTGTTTTACCCATCACCCATGAGAGATGAGTCAAGACAAGATCACCCATGGGTATCCAACGATGAAGATCTGTGAAGGAAACTCCTAATCCAGTTATCATAATTAACTTTTTTTTCTATAAAATAGCATTTTATTAAATCAGTATACAAATAGATCATTTTTCAAAATTATGATTCCCATTTCTTAATTAGCAAAAAACTGTTGCACTTCAGATGCACTCAAACAACTGTATATATAGAAAAAGTAAATTGATTCATTATTAAAGACATCGTGAAAATCTAATTTCAGACTGGCAGTCTACAGATGACGGACCATGAAATACTCTTTTCTTTTACATGTATCTGGTAATATGCCATATATACAGGAACGTTATTAAACTCTGTGTGTTTGTATTATGTGCTAAAGAAGGTACATAAGGCTTTGATATACATGTGTATGAAGCATCTTGAATGTTTTTTAAGCAGGCTGACATTCTAATGTTCGTAAAATGTAAAACTTCTAAGAATGTAAATTGTTATGTATGGTTTTTAACAGTAATTACTGAAAGTTATGCATTTTTGTTAAATTATGCCCACCTTTGTTAAGTTTTTAATGATTTGATAATAAAATTGTCTGAAGTCAAACTGGACTTTTTAATCAATACTCCACCAGGGAATGACTCTAATATATACAAGCTGGACTCAAGTGGTAAAATTCCAAGTTCACTTGCGGAATTCTTTAAAAGCCATATCTGTTACACACTGCGTGTATCGGATCAGAAACACTTGGTTAGCAAAGATGCTACACTTAGAAAGTGCTCCCTTCAATTGTGCTACACTTGAGCTATTGCTCATAAATACATGTACACTGTTCTACAGGAAAGAAAAATTTGAACAATTTCTTTATTTATTGTTTTAAAATTTATAACATATCACAGTTGACAACTGAATTTTTCACGCAAATAACATATTCAACAACAAAATGCAAAGTACCTTCTTGACATAACCAAATGTCTTTGTGTCAATCAACAAACTTGTACTTTAACCTAAACAGAATAACAAAAATTTAAACTTTTGCACAAGAAAAACAAAATTATATATATATACAACCAAGTCTCCAAAAGGGTTACATGATTTCCCAGTTGGTTCTTTCTTTTTTTTTTTTTTTACAGATATCCTTTGTTTTTCAATTATTTTTTTCTTCGAAAGTACATGTATTTCTGTTTCATCATTTATGAACATATTGCTAAAAGAAGCCATTTCCCCCATTCCTCTGAAAAATAAGCAAACAAAAAAGAATTTTACTTCTCAGAACTTTCTGTAATGAATATATAAAAAGTACACAAGTATAAACAGTCCAGCGACTTTCCCTAGAGCAGTGATGAGGAATAGGTCAGCCACTGATAACTTATTCATGTAGTAGAAAGCTCTGGCCTTTAATTCTTCATGAGGATTGAATCCTCCATGTCTGGCCCAGTCTTTAGGGTCATCATGTGAATTGAACCCATCTGGTCCCGCCCAGTGTTTGGGGTCACCGTGTGGATTGAACCCTCCCTGCCCCATCCACTGTTTGGGGTCCTCTTTGTGACTGTTGTAGTACTGTTGTTGATGCGTGTTGGTACCGGACTGACTCCTACTTTTCCTGATCCATTCCTCGTACATCTCCTGGTGCTGTTTATAGTATCTTTGTATGACTTCCTGTTCAGACATATGTTCTGTGCTGTGGGTCCTGGAAGTTAAATACAAATGTAACTAGTTGCTGATGGAAGTAGAGTCAAGAGCATGACAAGTGTTTAAATCAGGGGCAACCAATGTTTCAGTGAATTCATAAAGTTACTCAAAGCATCAATGTACAATGTATGGCTACAACAGATAAAGGGACAGAACATCAAACAGAGAAGTTATTAAAACTTAAACAAAACAAAAATTTCTCTTTTTCAGGATTTTTAGGTCACCTGAGACACTCAGGTGACCTATTGCTATTTTTTCGTCCGTCGTCGTGTAAACTTTTCACATTTTCAACATCTTCTCAAGAACCACTGGACCAATTTTATTCAAACTTGCCACAAAGTATCCTTGGGTGAAGGGAATTCAATTTTGTTCAAATGCTTCCAAGGGGAGATAATAACAAATAAGTTAAAAATTAATGGCATCTTTTAAAAATCTTCTTCAGAACCACTGGGCCAAGAAAGATGAAACTTATGTGGAAACATCCTCAGGTAGTGTAGATTCAAGTTTGTTCAAATCATGACCACTGGGTGTAGGGTGGGGCCACAATGGACGATCAAATTTTTACATGGTAATACATTTGAAAAATATTTAAAAATCTTTTTCTCCAGAACCACTGGGCCAGGTAGGGTGAAGCTTATATGGAAACATCCTCAGGTAGTGTCAATTCAAGTTTGTTCAAATCATGACCCCCAGGGGTAGGATGGGGCCACAATTGATGATCAAAGTTTTACATGGTAATACATTTGAACAATCTTTAAAAATCTTCTTCTCCAAAACCACAGGGTCAGGAAAGATGAAACTTATACGGGAATATCTGCAGGAAGTGTAGATTCTGGTTTGATCAAATCATGATCCCAGGGTGTAGGATGGGGCCACAATGGATGGGCAAAGTTTTACATAGGAAAAATCTTGAAAAAAATTCTTTTTTCAAGAACAGCAAAGCAAGGATTGATTTTATATTTACATGGAAGCATTCTCAGGAAGTATAGCTTCAAGTTTGTTCAAATCATGACCCTGGGGATAGGGTTGGGTCACACTGGACTTATGCAAAGATTTACATATGACTACATAGAAAAAACCTTTTACAATCTTTTCTCAAGAATAGCAAAGCCATGATTTGTCATATATTTATGGAAGCATCCTCGGGTAATGTAGATTCAAATTTGTTTAAATCATGACCCCCTGGGATAGGGAGGGGACACGACAGGTGATCAAAGTTTTGGTTAGGAATGTATAGGAAAGATCATTAAAAATCTTCATCTCAAGAACAAAAATGCCATGATTAGTCATTTTAATACAGAAGCATCTTCAGGTAGTGTAAATTCAAGATTGTTCAAATCATGACCCCCTGGGGGTAGGATGGGGCCATAATAGAAAATGAAATTTATAGGAAACAAATCTAAATGGGGGACAGATTAGAGCTTAATCTGAGTTGTTACTCAATACTAGACTGATTTTTTCATTGATCCTGATCATCCTATTTCTCTTGCTTTTGGGTAACAAAGCTTCTTCTATCAGTTTATTTTATACTTTATGGATCCTCTAAATTGTTGTTTTATACTCAGTTGACCGTTAAGGCCCTTGGGCCTCGATCTTGTTTATTAATGAAATTAAAAAAAGAGCTAAAAGAGAGTGAATACAGTCAATAAAAATCATATCCATAAGAAAAATGTGCAAACAGCAATGCAGCCATATATAATCAAACCTTTATAAGAAAAATGTGCAAACAGCAATGCAGCCATATATAATCAAACCTTGTTATCTCAAATTCAATTGGACCAAGAAAAAACTTTGAGATATTTGAGGATTCAAAATATCAAGGGTAAAATACTACAGAATATGTGGTTGGGACTTTCAAATCACTTTGACATATCCATGGTGTTCGAGATACTGAAGTTCAACTGCATTTACATTTTAAAGAACTAAACATATTTATACATGTACAACAGTATTTTAAATTACGTACGTTGTATAACTTTTGTTGACCCTAGCCCTTGACTGTAAATCTTTGTACATTTGAACGTCATAACTTGTTCTTTCTTTGGGGTCACTTAGAACATTGTATGCTTCTCGGAGTCGAACAAATTTCTGCTGAGCTTGTGCATCACCTGGATTTGCATCTGGATGTAACTGAAATTAAATATGACAGTGATTTTATTTCCTCAAAATAAAATAAATTTGGGGAAAAAAACACATACAGATGCATTTCATTTTAAAGAAAACTTAAAAAGATATATCATATGATATTTTCATCATTTCAAATATTATGTTTCAAGTAATCTTGTAATCAGTACAATCAAATATGACTTTAAAAGAGCATATTATTGTCAGACTCTCTTAACAATTAAAACTTTTTGTAACATTTTTAGAACTCTTACTTTTTTACTCATAGAAATATATGCTTGTTTGATTTCTTTAGTATTGGCTTGTCTTCCCACTCCTAAGATATCATAATGTGTCAGTGATGCTGAAGTGGAATACCTACAACAAGAAAGTCATTATTAACATAAATCGGTGCTGTGTTGATAAAGAAAAATTTAACTAAAAATTTGTGTGTTTCTTATCTCTTAACAATATTAATTTATCACAGAACATAGGAAAGTGATTTAAAATACATGTACTTTGTGCCTATACATGAACAAAAATATTGTAGTTTAAATATTAAATAGTCAGCAACATCAAACTTGAAGGTTTGTAACAATGTTCAAAGTATACTTATCATATATATTATGCCAAATAATTTTATTTAATTACTGATGTACCTTTGAAAACAGTTCTTGTTCAAAGACGTCACTTGCCCTTTCACAGAATATTTTAATATCCAGAAGAAATACATCTTTCAGATTCTTTGCACATGATTACTTTCTAAAAATATAAAGTAGACCATGAACATAAAATTGGTTTTCATTACATAACTATATAAGTAACAAAACAACTGAATTTTTTTCAATAACAAGAATTCCGTGAGCGAATGCTCACTAGTAATACCCCCGCTCTGATGTGATATACGGTTACCCTCCCATGTAGACATCAAATTCATACAAAAAAATAAAAGAATCCCACCATCTGGCATGCCTAAACAAAGATTGTGCTAAAATCTCAAGCATCTTCACTGAGTAGTTGCTGAGATAACTGTGACGGAAATTTGGTATGGACAGATGCATGGATAAACAGGAAGTTGACGACAAATTTAAACAAAAATGAATCCCACCATATGGCATGCCTAAACAAAGAGTGTGCTAAAATTTCAAGCATCTGTGATGAGTAGTCGCTGAGAAAACTGCGACCAAAAATTTGTTATGAACAGATGCACGGATAAACAAGAGTTGATATCTAATTCATATAAAAATAAATCCCACCATTTGGCATGCCTAAACAAAGATTATGCTAAAATTTCAAGCATCTACACTGAGTAGTTGCTGAGAAATATGCAACGGAAATTTGGTACGGACAGATGCACAGATAAACAGGAAGTTGACATCGGATTCAAAGAAAAATGGATCCAACCATATGGCATGCCTAAACAAAAATTGTGCTAAAATTTCAAGCATCTGTGATGAGTAGTTGCTGAGAAAACTGTGACGAAAATTTGTTACAGACAGACACACGAACACAAAGACACACACACACACACACACACACACACAAGGGTAAAACAGTATACCCCCCTCTCCTTCGGAGCGGGGGTACAAAAATAAATCCCACCATTTGGCATGCCTAAACAAAGATTGTGCTAAAATTTCAAGCATCTTCGCTGAGTAGTTGCTGAGAAATATGCAACGGAGATTTATAAGGGGTGTGTAACAATACATATATCAATGAATTGAGATACAGAAAGGCTGATACAATGCATCTAAACATATAAGAGGCCTATGGGCCACAACGGTCACCTGAATAACTTTGGCCCTGCTGTTCTTCACCAAATTTTCCCCCTAGTAATAGGTATTGTGGCCCCGCCCTACCCCCGGGTGGTCCTGATTTGAACAATTTAGAATCTACACTATCCCAGGACGCTTCCAAATAAGTTTCACCTTTTCTGGCCTAGTGGTTCTTGGGAAGAAGATTTTTAAAGATTTTTCCTATATATTTCAATGTTAAACTTGGATTCCCTATTGTGGCCCCGCCCTACCCCTGGGGGTCATGATTTTATCAATTTAGAATCTACGCTATCCCAGGATGCTTCCACATAAGTTTTTGGCCCAGCACTTCTTGAGCAGAAGATTTTTAAGACCCCACCCTATTTTTGTCATATCTTGATTATCTCCCCTTTTAAGGGGGCCTGACTCTTCATTTTAACAATTTAAACTCCCCTTCACCCAAGGATGCTTTGTACTAACTTTCGTTAAAATTGGCTCAGTGGTTCTTAGGAAGAAGTTGAAAATGTGTAAAGTTTACAGACGGACAGACAGACAGACGGATGGACAACGTCTGATCAGAAAAGCTCACTTGAGCTTTCAGCTCAGGCAAGCTAAAAAGTCGCAAGTATCTGTACAATGGACTATCAAACACAGGGCACAGGGGCTTGCTCCCGGCGTGTAATAATTATTTATTAAAAATCATATACGGTAATACTATAACAACACAAGGGAGGACACCATTTTGGACCCCTTCCTCGCTTCAACCTCTGTTTTCGTTATATTTTCCCGTATTTTACTGACTCACCGCCTCGGGTCTGTCAAGTATTGATTCTTCTAGTACATAATGCTTGAATTTTCCCCTTGGAGCCTCTACAATACACATTTCAGACTAATAATAATCCAAACGCGCTCTTTAGGACAGTTGATAGGGACAGAAAGCGAAAACACATTCAAAAATCTCAGGGTTTTTCTACTAGTTAAAACAGCTGCTAATTATAAATTTGGAAAAAAAACGCGTTCTAATTCCGTATTCAATGTAAAACGCCGAGGTTACTTTCGTTTTCTGTCCCTATCAACTGTCCTAAAGAGCGCGTTTGGATTATTATTAGTCTGAAATGTGTATTGTAGAGGCTCCAAGGGGAAAATGTAAGAGTGCAATGATAAACCGTTTGATGGTATATCGCGGTATATTTTTCCACGATTCAATTCACGATCCACTAAACTGATACCGCAGTTCGGTTCAATCGGTCCAGAATTATCCGAATCGTCCGTTTTGTTTCCTTGTTTACAATTTCAAAATGGCTTCTGCGCAAAACCTGAAGTCGACATAACGCATTAACGGCAGTTAAACTCATCTCCAGCATCTTACAGACCTCAGATTTAACATGGAGAAGGACTTTATGTGATTAAAAGTTATAGATGTTAAGACAAATGATAAACCCTTTAGATCTAAACATATTCTTTGGTAATACACGATATCTCATCACGCGTGTATTTCAATGAAAATTCACTGTCTTGTTGACTAAACTTGTCAACACGAGAAATATGACAACTGGTTTTCTACGTAAATAAAAGGAATAAAAGAATGAATGTTTTCCTTTTTCATTCCAATTTAAAAGGAAGACTATTAGGAAAGGTCCCCATAGTTCCCTGTAAATGTTCATCACTGGTTTAGAATATTGTCACAACTCAAAGATCTACCTATCAATCTAGTTCAAGTTAACAAAATGATATTTTAATTATTATCAAAAATATGAACATTTGATATAACCCTGTCAAGTTTAAAAAAATATTATGTCAAACTTGATAGACTTTTTAACCTTTTCATGTATCATGATACGTATCGTATCGTGAACTGAATACCGTGATACGTATCGTATTGTGAGGTTAATGTATCGTTGCACCCCTAGGATAATTCAAGCATTATGTCCTAGAAGAATCATTACTTGACCAGTCTAGATGAACTCCAAAAACAGCGTTTCTGGAAGTAAGAAATTGAGACTGAAAGACTCCGAAAAAAGAGTCCGCGCACACGCACAAAAAATGGCGATTTTTTGGCAAAAATGATGGGTCTACAAAAACTGTCTGTGCAAAGTTTTGGAAAGTATGGCAATTATGCCAGTACTCAGAAATGCTAAATAAAAGACTTTGGAAGAGATTGCATTTGTCAGATTTTTTATTTTATTTGCAAAAAAGGAGATATTTACTTTCAAAGTTGACGTTTGAAGTCAGGTCAATTACAGAGAAAATGATACGTTTGAGAAGTAAATATGCATAATAAAAGGGATATATATGCAAAATGGGATAATATATATTGTAACTGTTAAAAACTTGACTGAATTTTACACATAAATTAGCATTCCGGTATTTTTATTTGTGTACGACATCTGAATTGAACGCATAACTTCCTTCCATCGTTATTTACCGATTTTTTGTCACATACGAACAGATATTATTATGAAAACATTTTTAAAACTATTGGCTATCAATATGAAATCTTTAAAAACCACTCTTCTAGAAATGAAGGTCACAACATGTCTTCTAAAAATGAACCTGTGAATATCTCTGCTCCGTGGTGAAAAGTACGCATTTTCTAATTAATAGAAATACAAGTTGGGTGTCTTCAAAAACAAATAAAAGCACCTGTATTGTAGGAACAACATAAAATTTAAATCAAGGAGACAATAAATTAAATAAGAAAATAATTCTTACCGGCAGTATTGAATTCAATGTCGTATATCCAATTTACTACTATGCAAGAGTTTGAAGCAATAAATATGTCAATATCCACAAAATAATTTAATAAATATAATTATCCATTCAACAAAAATTAATATAAAGTCACAATGCACTAAATACAGCCATCATGCACCCGTATATTTGGAGAAAGCGAACGACAATCCATCGTTTGTTTACATCGGACGCCATTTTGCCGCAATGCATGATGGAGCCGAAAGCTTCGTTTTCGGAGTTCACGCCATTTTTAGAGTTCGTCTAGACTGTTGACAGACCCGAGGTGGTGAGTCAGTAAAATACGGGAAAATACAGGGCCTGGGAAGGGACCACGCCATGCGCCATATGTGCATACTGTCGAAAAATGGGCAATGAAATAATAGTGCGCAGCGCCATGCGGCGCGGCCCACAAAATGTGGGTATGCATGTTTTATTACTTTGTAAGTTCATCGCAGTCCGCGCTATCTGTGTTCTTCATCGAAGTTGGATGGAATCTGTGATGTATTATATAATAAAATCGGAACCATCATTCGGCATATTGACATCCACTGGCACAGAAACAGTTTTTTTTTCATGGCGTTCGATTCATAAGTGTCAAGTCGTTTTCGTTGGTTGACCACAGCTTTACGAAAGTCACGCACATGGAAAATTTATATACCTTACAATGAAAAACCTTTTCAACGAAGTCCACTTATTTTGGCCTGTCCCGTGATCTCTAAATCGGCATCATTAAAAAATGGTGCTTTTGGTTTAAATATAATTTTTCTAAATACTAGTTGGTTAGAATCTAGATGACGATTGACTGAAGTTCTTAGAAACGGAAAAATCATATGCACTAGTCAATGTCATATGACTTGTCAATTCAATTCCTATCACTTTTTTTTTTTTAATTTTCCTAAATTTTGTTGTCAGAGATATATGCATTATCAAAAAGCATCATACTATGATTTATTTTAGAATGGCCCCAATATATTTCCCCTCGGCCCCTTAAATTTCAAAATGGCCCCATCATTTTATGAACAGTGGGGCCATTGGCCCCACTTGTTGCTTGACCTTCCCAGGCACTGAAAATATAACAAAACAGAGGTTGAAGCGAGGAAGGGGTCCAAAATGGCATCCTCCCTTCTGTTGTTATAGTATTACCGTATATGATTTTTTAATAGCGAGCACAGCAAGCGGCGCAAAGCGCCGCTCGTCACTTCGAGCTCTTAAAGCAACACCTGGGCGAAGAGAAAATTCGGACTTTACACATTGATCCAAATGAATTTTTTTCCGCAGTTACCTGTGGTCCCATAATGCTTAGTGAATTGCATCTCGCTGCAAACAACGTTCTCGCGGTAGCAACAAAAACTCGACAAAAATTAAAATCATCTTGATATAATGGATATAAAGCAGATAAATAGTAGATCAAACGTTCTTGATTAAAATTAGCACTGTTCAGACTTCGTTTTGGTAGTGCAACATACATACGACGTCATATGACGTCAGAGTCTAGACGTAGCAAATGTCACGTGCTGTTTGACGAGCCCGATCTAAATTAAAACTGAAAGGTATCTGCGCTCGCCCTAACGGTTGCACCGTCAACATATTAAATAATTATTACACGCCGGGATCAAGCCCCTGTGCATAGGGTTGTCCCTAAGAATTGAAATAGAAGGAGACATTAAAAAAGTACACGGGAATCTGTGGTTCTTCTCCTAATGGAGACTTTAGGGGGAATACCAAAATAACCCGGGGATCCTGCCAATATACCTTTCATTAGTCTATTACAACAACAAACACTGTCAGCGTATTTCTCTGTGGGTCAAACCGGATACGCAGGTATAAATAATAAATGCCGTGAAGATAATAAATGCCGTGAAGAAGCATTGTAATTCCGAAAAGTGAAGTTCGAAATGAAACGAGTACTGTACGTCCAGGTTACTGCAAGCCCTTAACTTTATGGGTTCACACATGAGACAAAAGTCAACAATAAAAAATGATTTACCCGATTACCCCTGATTTGTTTGATGTACTCCGACCGTCAAAAAATTAAAATCACTCCCGCTATCTTTTTTTTTTTCAAAACTTTATCTCCCCTCCAGGAAATACAGATTATCCATATTTTTTCAGACCTTAATTTAGTTGGTTTGATCCCGTTTTGGACACATTTGCGAAACGGAAATTCTCTAGGATAATATAGGCTAATTAATATTAATTAAATTCAACCCTTAATTTTACACTTAGACAAAAAGATCACTGATGAATGAAATACAAAAAAAAAAAAAATGAATTATTGATATGCTCTGATTTACCATAGATTTTGAATACCGGTAATTTTTAACAAGCAACCAAAATAAATTTAAGACAAGGTATTTGGATAGTAAAAAAAAAAAAAAATGAAAATTCAAACAATGATATACATTTTTATTAAGTCATCAGGAATTAAACGCAATATAAATTATGACAATAGGAAACCTCTGCATGGTGTATCTTTAACTGCCATTGTCTATACCATTGTTGCTGAATGAGGAAAAATAAAAAAAACAAAAAGCAAATTCATGCACATTTTATATCATGCAAAATAAAATAAAAAGAAATAAAGAAATAACGACCAAAGGTAGCTGGTGAGCATGCAGAGGTGTGTCTTTATCCTGTGTCAATGTCATTTTGGAAGATCGAGGTTAAGGTCACAGGGTACAAAAGTATCATTATTGCTGTAACCACAACTTTTAAATGACGAAACGTGATTCTAGGGTGCCATGACCCTTCCCATGGTCATTCGGTCAAGGGCCGTGTAGATCTATGTCACTTGGTTTAAAGTATTAAATTCTTCATCGTTTTTCTCTTGTTTTTGACACAGTGATTTGTAATGGAATGAGCGAAGAAGATCATATTTGGCCTGAAGGTTGATTATGATCATAGAATATGGAATGACCCTGGACAAGGTAGGTCATCCATCCGACTATAGGACAACTAGCAGCGTATCGGACATATTAAAACAGCTGAGTTGGACATCTCTGCAGGAGCGACGTGGTCAAGCAAAAGCTGTTATGATGTACCGCATAGTGTACCATCTCATCGACATTCCACCACTCCTCCTGTTTCCAGCCACTACAACCCGAGGAAACAGCATGATGTTCCTGGTTCCTTATGCCAGAACCTTAGTGTACCAGAAGTCATTTTTCCCAGATGGTATTCGAGTGTGGAACTCTGTACCAACATCCTTGGTTACCACCACCTCCCTAGATAACTTCAAAACGAAGCTATCTAGCCACATCATCAGACCGTAAACCAACCAATCTATTTTACCTGCACTGTAAATAGTTTATCTTATTTTTAAATCACCTTGTTTTCCTCGCACCACCATGCGCCAGTACGAAATATCAGAAGTTCTGATCAGTACTTTATTGGAAGAAGAAGAAGAAGAAGTCAAGGTCACATAGTTCGTGTCAAATTCTGATGGTCTTTGTTGGGTAATGAAATCTATATTGTAGAAGCATTAGGAGGACGTCATACTTGGATGACTTTTTTTGTAGTCGTATTATTTGTATATTTTTGTTAGAACTTATCCTCTGCTTTACTCAGAAGCCAATTCATAGTTTGGAATATGATTGAAGGTTTTGAAATTTTCATTTTCACCCTGGGGCCAATTTGGGGTTGAAAAGCAACATTTTATCAAAACTCTTCTTACTGCATCTTACACAATAGCAAAATCATCTCTTGGAATATCTTTAGTGATGTCCTGTACATATGCTATTTAAGATCAATTAAGGTTCAGAATCTTCTCCTTCGGGCCAAAAAACGACATTTTCCTACATCCCCCCCCCCCCTCGCCCGAAAAATCCTCTTACATTTTACCATGTAGACAAATCAACTTTTCACAGTATAATCGGCTGTGACCTGTGGATATGCAATAGAGGTTGAAAAATGTTCTTTTCATCCAGAACTTTGATTTGGGCCTATTATGTTTTTATTTTCCTTCTCATTCCAATCTCCTATTAAAACAAAATTTATGCTTCATTAAATTCTCTTGTTTCAGAATGGTAATAAATTCATTGTAAGAAATATACTAACATAAGAGGCCCGTAGGCCACATACTCACCTGAGTATTTTATCCTCAATTTGATACATGTTAATTTATATAGATTATAAAATAGCCATTGTTGCTTCTTCACTAGTTACCCAGGTAAAAAAGATCATTATTTAAGAAGAAAACACTAACATGCAGATATTACTGTATTGCATGTGACTGCATCTATTTTTTTTTTATTACACCCCGCACTTTCTATAAGAAACGTGTGGGTATATTGTTTTATTCTTACCCGTCTGTCCTTCACTCTATTTTCTTTCTCAAACTCTTAATCTGTTATTAATCTTTACGCAGTAGCCCTTCTTTTTGGGAATATGATTGATGTTCAGTGAGATTTTCATTTTCACTTTATTTAAAAAAAAAAGCGGTGTTCTCAGAACTCATCCTACATTATAAGCTGCAGTAGTCAAACATGCACGGGTCGGGGGGGGGGGGGGGGTCCATGCCCCCACTCGAATTTCCAGAGTTATTAAATGTATATACAGAAGCAAATAATTTTTGGGGGACTGGGGTGGAAACCAACCCCCCCCCCAACCCCCCGAAAAAAATCCCTGGATCCGCGCCTGCCAAATCATGATTGTTGGTGTTCTGAATGTTCCATAATAATTTTGCAGATATATGGTATACTATAGAAAACATAGCTTCTTTATGCTTTTACCCCCTCAATAATAAGGGCGACCATTTTTGGGGTTGTACCCTCCCCCCAACTGAAATTGCTTCCCATGGGCCTGTGTGCAATTAGCTTTCGGAAACATATTACTTTCTTATGACAGCAGCTAGTTTTACCATTACGTTCATTTTATTTTATTTTGCATAAATCATATGATAATTTGACAAAACTGTCAACTACCAAGCCTTTGGGTGGTAGGTGTAAAGCTTCCACTTTATACAGTAATATTTGGTTCACAAATATTTTTATGCCCCCATCATCAGAGATTTGGGGGCATGCAGTTTTTGGTCTGTCTGTCTTCTTGTCTTTTTGTCTGCAAAATCTTTTCTTTCGGTACCAACATTTTTGACCTCATAACCCTGACCTTGGACATCGACCTCCTTTTGAATAACTATAACTTTGGCCCGAGTTTTTGAACAGTTGGAGCTAGCAAGGACCTATATTCTATACAGTATTATAGTATATATAAAGGACATATCACAAGGAATACACACGTGAATTATGCATGAAAACCCTGGCTCCGGGGAAGTATATACTAGTAAAATTATTTGGGTGGCATATCCCCTCCCCCTTTCCTATGCAAGAAAGTGATCAAGTAAGTTATTTTTTTTCTTTTTATAACAAATAAGCTCCACACTTTTTAGGCTGTTTTATATATATATATATATATATATATATATATATATATATATATATATATATATACACATACATACATATATATATATATACTCTCTTTCTCCTCTCTCTCTGATTTCCCCTACTACCTGATCTTAGAATAAAATGATCACTATACTTTATTTGTTAATCTATATTATATACTACCTATTTTAATACTACAATAAACGTGAAATTGGGACAATTATTTTGTTAGAAAAGGCCCTTCACTAAAGACTGGTAGTTTAGCTGGTTTAGCTTCAATTATTAAAATAAAATGTGGCAAGGTGGTAATTTATCGAGGAGTAGGAGGAGAAGAGCAGCGATGAAAAAGTTTATTTAATCTAATAATGGAGCTGTGTGTACATTGAGACACATTCATTTTGTTTCAATGGAATCTTGAGCTTCATTACTGTTCATTATCTTCATGTTTCTTTTCCTTGGAATGAAGAAATTTGATGTGTAATCTTAAATACTGACAATCCAATAATTTTTGTCCCACTTTTATTTCATATATGAAAACTATCAATTCATCAAACCTATGCTATGTACATGTATATCTTAAACATGAATGAGTTCAGTTTAGATTATCAAATAAAACAGTGCATTGGTTCTATATGCCTTTTTTCACATGAGACTTAAACTTTGTTTTGCAAAACTTATTTCCTCAATTTAAGTGTAACACATAACATCACATATCGTGTTCAATGCATACACTGACAAGAAAGCATTCAGACAAAACAATATATGACTGATGCTCTGTATTAAATTATAATGTGAAATAACCAAAACAGATACAGAATACGGGGTTTGCTAGCTCTCAAATCATCAAAGACTTCCCAAACTGCCTTCAATCAAAAGATTGTACATGTATAAGTAAAATCTTCAAATGATCTGGATTCACATTTGTGTACAACATATCACTTGACAGTTATTAATTGTGTATAACATATCAAAGAACATCTAATTCTAATTACTAGTAAATTGCGCTTGGCAGTTATTCATACAACATATCACTTGACAGTTATTTTGGCTGCATTTTTGTCTGACACGGTATACTCATCCCATTTTTTCTCTGGATCATATGGTTCCCATCGACTAGCTGGGAATATGTGCTTGTTCCTTTCGTACCAGGTTCTGAGGCAAACCTTCCCAGCATGTGACTCGTCTTTCTCCACAGAGGCATCACTAAGGAGCCTCACATCATCATGAACATCAAAACTAAACAGTGGACCACTTTTACCTCTAGCCTTGGTGACAATGAAATCATAAAATGTGTAATGATGGGGAATGATTAAATCTTCTTTCACATACATTAACTGGTCCACAGAGACAACTTTCAGATCATTGAATTCCCGTCGGAGGGTCTCTAAACACTTCTGTAGGAACTGCTGAATGCTATTCCCCTTCTTCATCCGTGCCTGCCGTCTGTGCCCTGACCCGTCCCAGTAACTGTACGTTATGTCTATCTCTTCATTTTTCATTTTCTCCTGTTTTTCCTCCCACTCCTGACGAAGTTGTTCTCTGTGAAATGAAAACATGAATGTTTATGGAAACTTCCTAAGAAACAATGAGAAGTACATGTACCTCAAGCTAAAATAGAAAAAAATAGTCAAAAAGCACTAAATGTAACAAGCAGACTTATTTACTAAATCTCTCAAAATATACTATTAACTAACCCCAATACAACTTCGATTGCATTCTGTGTACTGGGTATAAACACACAGTGAGTAAGGAGAATAATATTTATCTGAATCACAGTGTGCTTTAAATAATTTAAGGCACCAATGAATAAATATTTCTCCCATTATCAACTGTGTTTCATTACTCCCACACAATTGTTCTTTTTTCATGTTCATGAAACACCTAGGATGATTCCGATTGGTTGCTTGTATCTATTGCGATTCAAATTGGCTGTTTTCCAAAGCCTACTTTCCTAGTTCATGCCTATGATGGCATACAATGTAGGTACAACGTATGTTTGTAAATGTCTATGATTAACTTATTTTATTTTTTGAACTTTCCCTTGTACATTTCATTTTGACAGATCACTGAGGTACATGTATATTACTAGGGATATATATAATAGGATAGGTAACTTCTTCAGCACATGTTTATTTCACCAAAACACATCAATCCATTTTTGTATAATGGAAGGAACAGATCCCATAACCATTGTGAGTTAGTAAACATTTTCCTCAAACTCTTGTTCTTTAATTTCTTTTAATTTTCAAGAGACACTCACAAGCCTTGAGTCTCTTGAAAATTAAAACATAGGTAATCAAAGATTACGAAGCTCACCTCGACGAATGTTATCTATAAATAAGGCAAATTTCACATCATATTTTTTTTTCTAGTTAGGGAACATCCCAAGATCAATATCCTTGCAAGTTTGGTTTAAGTAGAATTTGTAGTTACTTGGAAATAGACCTGCTAAAAAACTTTTAACCTGTTTAGTAATCAAGAAAATTTTGGTCAGTTCAAACATCCAAAGCAAGTCTGGAAGTTTTCATCCTTAGATGCACCATCTATGCAAGTTTAATCATAACAGGCCATAATATTACATAGCTACACCAAAAAAATTACCCTGGTCACTCATCTGGATAATGTAGGTCAGATTCAGAATCCAAAGCAAGTCTGGTAGTGTCCATCCCTAGACACATCATCCATGCTAATTTGGTTAAAATATGGCTAAAATTCACTCATGTTGAAAATCTAGGTCAGATCCAGCATCCGAAGCAGGTTGGTTAGTGTCCATCCCTAGATGCATCATCCATGAAAGTTTGGTCCAGGTAGGGCTTATAGCTACTTGGGAACGGGACTGCTCCAAAATCTAAACCAGGTCTCACATGTGGAAAATTTAGCTTAGTTCCAGCATCCGAAGCAAGTGTGGTAGTGTCCATCCTTTGGATGCATCATCCATGCAAGTTTGGTCCAGGTAGGGCTTATACTTACCTGAGAACAGATCTGCTCCAAAAACTTTAACCTGGTCACTCATCTGGAAAATCTAGGTCAGATCCAGCATCCGAAGCAAGTGTGGTAGTGTCCATCCCTAGATGCTCATCCATGCAAGTTTGGTCAAGGTAGGGCTTATAGTTACTTGGGAATGGACCTGCTCCAAAAACTTTAACCTGGTCACTCATCTTAAAAATTTAGGTCAGATCCAGCATCCGAAGCAAGTGTGGTAGTGTCCATCCTTTGGATGCATCATCCATGCAAGTTTGGTCCAGGTAGGGCTTATAGTTACTTGGGAATGGACCTGCTCCAAAAACTTTAACCTGGTCACTCATCTGGAAAATCTAGGTCAGATCCAGCATCCGAAGCAAGTGTGGTAGTGTCCATCCCTAGATGCATCATCCATGCAAGTTTGGTCCAGGTAGGGCTAATAGTTACTTGGGAATGGAACTTGCTCCTAAAACTTTAACCGGGACGCCGACGCCGACGCTGGGGGTATAGCATAAGCTCATCTCAACTTCGTCGAGGTGAGCTAAAAAAAAATTAAAGAACTTGAGTTTGAGAAAAACCAGTTCCTAGCTGGCACTTGTTTTGGAGTCTACATGTACATGAATGTGTATATTTCTGCTTTATTAAGTCAGATCAGAACTACATGTTCTTTTAAAAAATAAATTACTTAAAATAACTAGATAAGGTCATTGTTGACAGTTGATACCTGAGCTTGTTTTCCTCCTCTTCTCTGTCACGATCCGGCAGGAAGCTTGTATCTACATCAGGATTCTTTCCTGTAAAAAGTTTCAACATAAGTAAGTATGTTTATATTTATAAGATATTTGTGATAAAAAAAAACATGAAGTAAGCAAGCATAGATTGCCTATTACTGTAAATTCCTTATTTTACGCGAGTACTTAATATCGCGAAGTGACCCAAGGACGTCAAACCGCGAGAACAATAATTTGCGAATGGGTGATTTATCTAAAGATTTTACATACCAAAATAAATGCGAGTAATTTTATTTCGTAAGTGGTGCTTCTTGCGTAATTACGCGATAATTTATTCCTCGCATATATTTAGGAATCTACAGTATATGTTGTTTCTAAAAAGTATCAAGGAACACGGTCTGTTAAGCACCAAAAGCTGCCAACTTTATAAAATTAAAAATCCTAAGACTAAGTTGACCCGCCGATTGGACGCCTGGTCACTGGATATTTTTCCATTTTGTTCTCTGTAAAATGACTTAAATCGAAAGTTTGCCAAGAAATGGACAATGACAATACAAGTAAGTGTTGTAAGGACTATGATTATTTTTACTTAACGAGGTTGGATCCTGATATTTAAAGTCTTAAACTTTTTTTGTCAAGTATATTTTTAGTTTCTTCACACATAACTTAATTAAAAATCAAAACAAAAAATGGGGATCAATACGCTTTTTTTGGTGCTACAGTACATTTAATATGACCTTTTTGCACTGAAATTTGTGTCTTAATCAAAAATCACATCTTCGACGTTTTCCCTCCAATGTTTTTATCCAAATAAATCATGGGACAAAATAAACTACTAGTCTATTTAAAAAAAAGACACATTAAAATTGTGCCTAGGCCCTAAGAAAAAGTTTCAAATTGCTTCGCATAATCAATTTTTTGACCTTTCTGCACTCACAAAATGTGATTTTTTTTTACATTAAAAATTTAACAAGCAAGAAAATTACAGTTGAACTTCGGTATCTCGAACACGGATATCTCGAATACCATGGATATGTCGAAGTAATTTTGAAGTCCCAACTGCATATTACTTAAGTATTTTACCCTGGATATCTCGAATCCTCGGTTATCTCGAAGTATTTTCTCGGTCCCTTCGAGTTCGACATAACAAGGTTTGACTGTATTTTAAAGTCTTAAACTTTTGCTGAATTAAGCAGATTGATCAAAGTTATCTTATATATTCAGAAAAGAAAAACAAAAGTGGGGGTCTATGATGTAAATTTTCAGATATTACATGTACTAAAAAAAGTGTTAATTTTATGTTAAAATTGGCTCAATTTTTTTCCTGGACTTACAGAATGTATTTACTATATTTGTCACTATATAATGAAATAATTCATAAGAAATAATTTAATAGATATTTCAGAACCAGTATAAAACATTTCACTGCAAAAAACTGCTCTGTGTGCAACTAGCATGGAAAAATAGGAATTTAAACTTAACAGTACTGTATATATTTCAAAAGGGAAAAATTGATCATTTTCTTCTAAAAAAACCTTCCGCTGCAAATATAGTTCCTGACGTAATCCTATTTCAATGGAATTTAATCGTGGTTTTTTCATTGGATATAGTTTAGTTTGCATTGTAGAATCCAGATTTAATGTTAGAACTTAAAAATGATGCAGAATTTTAGAAATAAAGGTCCAGACCAAAATCTGCTCAAAGGCACAGGATTGAACCTCCTTAAATAATGAAAACTGAAGGTGGACAAACTTGAGAATGCCCATCTTCCCAAGTCAAGGGTTTCTGATCCACTCCGCTCCACATAAAGGTTGTTTATGCATGTTATGTGGAGCAGAGTGAATCAGAAACCCTTGACTTGGGAAGATGGAGAATACCGGAATTCCAAACTTTTAACATAAACGCAGATCGTAAGGATAAATAGATTAATCATAAGGCATATTTTCGATGCTCACACCGTAAGCCTTACACCAAAATCGTAAGGGTTGGCAGCTCTGCAATCTAAGGAGAAAATGATAAGGTAAGTACCAAGCCTTCGTTTCTTTTTTGTTTCTTCAACTTCTTCCTTTTCAAATTCATCATCATCTTCTTCTTCATCTGGATCAAAGGAGAGACTGGCAATCTGAAAATTACATTAAAAAAAATTGTAAAAGAGCATGTTACCTTACATACATTAAATGCAGATTTAGTAAGTTACATATACTGAATGTACATGCAAAAATATACATTTATTGACTGGGTTCAAGGGCAACATGCCTTTTGTCAGAACCATAAACCTGTAACAGCCTCAGGCAAACAGTTTGGTTCCAAGAACATGGTCAAAAAATGTTTTGTTATACCTTTTATTTATTTATTTATTTTTGAATAAAGTATCTTGTGCTGGCTTCCATGATGTAAACTTCCTTTACCCGCACTGCAGTAAAATTCGGTCAATTCTGTCACTGTCAAACACCAACAAATGCAAATAAGATTCAGCTGATCCCGCACAATGTGTGACATAAGCAGTCTCATTCTGCGGTAAAACTTCGATTTTTTTTTTTATGACTGCTCAGTAAAACATTAGAAATGTTAAGACATTTTTAAATACAGATTTATATAGGAACCAATTTTTAAAGGTATAACAATAGCCATTTCTCAATGTGTACCTAAACTGCCTACCATTAAGAGCTACAATCAACTTTGTATCACTTGCACTAGTAAGAGATGAATTTTAATTAAAATTAATGCAATGAATTCAATGTAAAATTCAGAACTTTAAACCATTTTTGCTTTACCTTCTGTTGCTCTTTTTTCTTCTTTCTCTCCTTTTCTTTCTCTATGAGTCGGGCCTGGGCATCTTTCTTAGCTAACTGTGACTGTCGCTTTTTAATCACATCTTCCTGCTTTGCTTTCATTTCATCCAGTGTTACAAGACCTAATACCAAATCATTTTATCATAACTTATTCAAAATATGTAATCGTTACAATAAAATTAAGTCACAAAATACAAATTTAATTAGTGCCAAACTTTTGGAACATTCATAGTGAGATAGCCCTATTTCATGAATGAAAAAGGGGTGAAGATAACGAACAGTGATCCATCTCATAAAAACTTCAAACAATACAAATCTGCGAACAAGGCATAAACACAGACCCCTGGAAATTCCAGAGGTGGGATCAGGTGCCTAGGAGGAGTAAACACCCTCTGTTGACCGGTCACACACGCTGTGAGCCCTATGTATTAATCAAGTACACGGAACATTCCGTAATCAAATTTTAGTATAAAAACAAAGGTCTACTAATTGGTAGGAAACAAGTCAGCCAAAATACGACCAAGTGATAGGTAATATTTTCTTATAAGGTCATTGTAATGATCATAGAATTTACAGAATGCTGACTTTATATGGGATTGTTGAAATCCCGGTAACACTAACTTATGTGTGAGTAGTCTGCCTTGGTTTAAAAACTTACCATACACAGAGCATGCTCTTGAGTAGCAAATAAGTTGAGAGACATAAACACCATATGCAGGTGATAGCAGAATATTACTAAATTTATTTTTTCTATGAGAAAAAGTTATCCAAATACAGGAAATTATCTATATTACTATAAAAATAGAGTATTTTGGTAAAAAGATAAAGTCATGTAAATATCTTGTTCTATCATAGACTTTTAATTGGTCAAAAAAGGCAATTTTTCACCAGAATTTAGCGTTTTCTATGCCATGAAAAATGAATGCTGGATGCCATGGTAATCATTGACCATAGCAACCATTTTAATATGAATTTTAGTTTCGTACTTCAATATAGGAATGTGTGCCAAGTTTCATAAAAATCCAAGACCTAGTGTGCCACAATCCCTATAAAAAAGTTTAAATGCTTACAGAGAATGGCTAATAAATAAGGAAAATTGATGATGGAAAAGCTGAAGTCATCTCATTTGTCATACAATTTAGTTGTTAGTTGGCCTTTGTCATCTATAGTCAGTAAAACATCAAAATATGAAACAGATGTGACAGACTCTGTGGTATCTTTTATTTCAAGTTCAGTGGGATATACTGAGTTGACATATGAGTGGAAATAACAACTGTTAATTGATAAAACATAGTCGATATATCTGAATGTCGAGTTGAATGCAACGACAAGTATTTTCTTCTTCTCATGTAGAAGTTTTTGAATAAATTCTGCTTCATATGAATATAAAAACAGGTCGGCTAATAGAGGAACACAATTAGTGATCATCGGATTTCCAACAATTTGTTGGAAGACTTGGTCTCCAAAGACTACATAATTGTTGTCAGTGAGGAACTCCAGCATCTTTTTAATATCAACTTTGGAGTACTTGTGTGTAAAATCAGAGTGATTTTTAACAAAGTAATTTTGTTCATGACCAATCACAAGATATTTAAGTTTTGATTCAACACAGTTTTAATTAGTTTCTTAATTTTGATTAATTCTGGAGAGTTTAGATATGACTTACCTATGGTATTAGACTTGAGCTGTTGTTCCACAGCATCATAATGAGATGCAAACTTATTCTGTATGCTCCCTATTTTCAGTTCGTCCTCGATCTTGCGTTTTCGAGTCTCTATCTCCTCTTGTTCTTTCTGACGTTTTTTTATTAAAATCTGGGCTCTTCCACCCTCTGATGCTGCACCCTTGTAATGTGCCATTGTTCTTCTTCACAGAATTCCTCACTCTATTAAAAATAATGCATACTGTTTTACAATAACTGTAGTGAACAATTTTATATTTTATCAGGAAAATTTTTTTGTAAGACTGGTTATGAAACTTCCTCTGGAGAAGGCTCACTAAGTATCCAGTCTTTCTAGAGGAAGGCTCTCTACATAGCCAGTCTTCGGGGGGAAGACTCACTATTGATCCAGCCTTCCTTGGGAAAGACTAACTATATAGCCAGTCTTCTAGGGAAGTCTGACTACCTATTTAGTCTCATTATACAACATTGGGAATCTGACCCGGGACCTCTGCATCACTAGTCAGGTGCTCTAACCGCTGAGCTATCCAGGCCAACATTCACACTTCACCACATTCCTACCCCAATCCTTTAATTGTGTTCACCACTAAAAACACACAGAATAAATTCTTCCACCTGGAAAGTGGAAGGGGTATCATCAGTTGGACCAGGAATTGAACCCAGGACCCCTGCATTACAACTAGGACCTATATATGTATATATAAAGCCCTCCAACTTAGTGTCAATTTTTACATGACTCCTGACTCTATCAGATTAAAGTTTTTTGTTGGTATTCTTCACATCACTCAACAGATTTAGTCCAAACTTTTCAGACAATTCAACTATGTTAAACTGAATTCAGAATAAACATAAAAGTGTCAAAAATGTTATGAATTGTGGCACTTATGGACTAAATTGAGCAGTTTGATGAAACAGTATCTGTTTTGGTTTCTACATTCAAAACTTAATGCTAGATTTTATAGCTTTTGGACAGACGACATTACTAAATGTAACATTGTTGTATTATTTATGTTTGTGGGTATTAACTTTAACGTAGTTAATATGCCTTAGAATTTGGAAGTGATCGTTTCTGGTGAAATGAAAAATGTTAATAAAAAATTGAAATCTGGAACAATCTGATCTCTTGATTTATCATATTATACATAACTTGTTGATATATATATATATATATATATATATATATATATATATATATATATATATATATATATATATATATATATCCAATGAAAAAATCAAGAATCACAAGACTCGAATAATCATTTTAACTGTAGGTTAGCGCTTTCTGCCTTTTAATGGCTCTTCAGACAGTTACAAAATGAATATGAAATTATCTATTTGTTTTTTAATTTTCTATTAATTTTCTACTTGTTTTTGAATTATAAGTGATTGTAACTGTGCGAATTATGATGCTACCTTTTAACGTTATTATGATGTCACAAAGGACAATAATTGACGTTGTGCTTATGAACGTTACTAAGCAATTTCATATTCATTTTGTAACTGTCTGAAGAGCCATTAAAAGGCAGAAAGCGCTTACAGTTAATATAAAATACATGGTTACTGTCTTGAAATATAAGTGATATTTGGGCAAGGGTAAGAAAACGTGATAGAGGGCGAGGCTTGCCGAGCCCTCTATCACGTTTTCGACCCGAGCCCAAATATCGCTTGTATTTCAAGACAGTAACCATGTATTTTGTTTATCCTGCAACACGTTTTTACATGACCTCCAAAACGATCTGTTTTCAACCGATTTAGGTACCTCTGCAGTTGAAACTAAGACGCCATGGCGTAAACATTGCAATATTCATGACGTCACAATGCTTTTAGAACGTCGGAATACGTGCACGAGGCTTTATTAGGGCATTGACCGAATAAAGCTTTGGTTTATTAGGTTACCTTTATTAGGTCAATACAAGGGGTAGTTGCAGGATAAAAATGATTATTCGAGTCTTGTGATTCTTGATTTTTTCATTGGATATATCAATACTTTACTGTACCAAAAATTGGATTTTTCATAAAGTATATTTCAGAAATGAATTTAATTTTTGAAGATTCATGAGGACATGAGCTGCGACGCTTCACGCCGGCATATTTCATGAAGCGCGTTAGCGCTTCATGAAAAATATGCCAGTGTGAAGATTTGTAGTTCATGTACCTCATGAATCTTCAAAAATTAAATTCATTTCTTACTGTCATTGATTATCCGTGAGTTTATGTAAGGTTAACTTTGTTGTGACGTCATAATAACTAACGTTACGCTTCTATAGACAACAAGTCTCAAATAAACCACTATACGATTAAGACGTCTTTTATTTCATTCCACAACACTTATATTTACATTATTTTTCTGATTAGTTTCCACAAGTTACGCCATTCAACTGTCATTTTTGAAGCAAAACAGTTTGCACTATATTTTTGACGTCAAGTACGGTATTATGACGTAACAATGGAGATATTCATGCTCATCTCATGGTAGTTCATGAGAAAATGAACAGTCTTCTAATTTGCAAAGAATCTTAAGGAAAAATACTTGGAAATGTATATATATATATATATATATATATATATATATATATATATATATATATATATATATATATATATATATATATATATATATATATATATTAGGAATGACTCTAATTCTTGGCCAAATTATTCGAGTATAACCTGGTTTGGGTCAGTTTACGCTGTTTTATAATCCGCTTCGCGGATTATAAAGCGTAATTTGGCCAAGAATTAGAGTCATTCCTTATAATTTAATTTTAAAATCATTAAATAACTATAGGTGTAAAATTTTGTTGCTTTTTATTAGTTCAAATTTGCCGCTCAATAATACAACCGTAGTAACGGAAGTAATGGAAGTGATGGGAAGCGAGGGGAGGTAAAAACTGATACATAGGCCTAGCAGCCTTGTCGTTTGTTTACATGTGGTAAGATCGAATAACTGTTTGAAGTTAAAGGTACATTTATTAAATCTGGAATTTTCCATGAATTCCGAGGACTGGAAATTAGGGCTGTGTCAATATATCGAATATTCAATACGTATCGATATCGAAAAAATAATTTCCAATACGTATCGGACAGGCAGTTTTCCTTATAATTCTGTATAAAAATTGGGAATTTCAGTTACCAAAGATTATTTTTAACTGTTTTGAATTAAAACTGGTCAATGATGAAATAAACATTAAGGAGACAGCACATCTTAAATAACTATTACAAAATACATAGACAACTATATTTTAACATGTTATATTAGACTCACCCATTTTTTATCAAATTTATGCATTAAATGTCATTTACAAGATATTTTTGAAAGACTTAATAAATAATCCAATATATCGCATATCGCTTTATAAAATATCGTATCGTATCGTATCGAAATATTTTGCTCAATACACAGCCCTACTGGAAATGAGAGGATTGTATGGATACAGATGATTCAGCTGGTTGTCAGGGGGATGTGCCCCCATACCAAACCAGGTTATACAGAAATAATTTGTGTTCCTTTTTGGATATTAACCATTAACCGATCAGAAGCTAGAATACAAACAAAATTAAATTATATACATTACAAATAATGTGGATTTTAGAAGAGCAAACTACGGACTTAAAGAATGAATTACAACGTTTGTAACAACCATACATATATTTCCGTGCCAAGACGATTCCGTGTAAAATATTGAGAAAAAAATGAAATATTTTACAAAGGTATGTGGACGTATTGCATAAATACACCCGCATTTTAAAATTTTAATGCAATAATATATTTATCAGTCAGTTTTATTTTTTATGATGATTTATTGATATTATACTCGAACAAGATGATACAGAGAGGCATTCATATTATTTGTTATATATTAAATTTTCACAACTTCATATTTAAGTAATATACTGTCATAGTTTTTATAAAACAGACAAATTAGAGAGAGAGAGAGAGAGAGAGAGATTCGGTTTTACCCCCCCCCCCTTTCTCAAATGTTTGTACCTATATCAAATAAAATTTCTTAATTATTTTCTAATATACCAGGCAATGAAAAAACTATTTTTATCACAAAACCTATTTGTGTTACAGTCATAATCGTTTTTTTTTTCCTGCTTCAAGTTCACACGAAGTCCACGTGCTTGACCTGTCAATCAAAATCATTCGATACTGCCAGCAGGTGTGAAAGTCTCGTCAAACCGAAGACAAAGTGTTAAGAATCTCCAAGAAGTTTTAACATTTTTTCTTATCATTTCTAGATCTGATTCCAACATTTCTAAAAAAAAAAAAAATAATAATAATAAATGAATAAAATACATTGGGAATAAACACTTGGAATGATTAAGCCGCTTGAATTTGAAACCTACTCCCTGCCAATTTAAAAATATCACCGCCGCACATGTATATTTTGAACTACTATTGTTTAATGACTTTGTTTAGATGCATGTTTGTTTTTGAGACTGAAATTTTTGTGCTACAAAACACATTAACTTCTATTTAAATGTTAATTAAAATATATTAGAAATACTAACTACATGTAAGTAACAGATTTAACAGAAAGGGGGGGGGGGGGCTCTTAATTATATCTTATGGCAAACAAATACAGTTACGGTGAAAAATATCATTACTGGAGAATCACTTTGGTTATATTAATGATAATCATGTTATAAAGGCATTTCTCTCTCTCTAATTAAAGACTTTACATGTATATTTGTAAAGTAGAAAAAAATTCTATAATGTATTACATTTTAAACAAATGTTTGTTTTTTTTTCAAACCAAACTATCAATTTAATTCCCTCTAAAGATATTTAATTAACTGGATAGCTGCAGTACTGTTTATAATCCTCAGAATTAGTTCTAACATGTATTTCTGTATTATTTGAAGAAAAAAATGTGTTAGAAATAAATATTTTCGTATTTCTGCTGAAGTTGGTAAATTAATTGACTTCGGTTATTATCTATCCATTAACGATTTGTCGTCTTTAACATAACAACAAAATGTTGCAGTGCTTGAAGCATGTGTATATTGCCCGTATTTAAATTTAATTTTTCAGCATCGTTCTACATAGGTAAATACATGTACTTATAAAAACATTTATTTTCCAGATAAATTTAATAAATAACCTAACAGCTAAGTTAGAATAATAAAAATAAATATTGTAGATAATTTTTCTTTAAACACGATATATTAATTATTAAATTTGTAAATCCTTACTTAAAAAAAGA